TTGAAGTGTCTCAAACAATGGGCCTTCCACCACTTCATCTGGGAGGCTGTTCCTACTGCGAAAAAGGCACTACAAAACTTCCGGCCTAGATTATTTTCTCAGATTTTCATCCCCAGCATTAATCTCTTTTTGAATAAAACAGCTGAGTGACATCTTTCTCTGGTCTCCACCTCACTAAAGTATTGTATACTCAGGAATTATTAATAAATGTTTATAAGATCCTTGGGACTCAGGTTACCTGAGTAATGGGTTGGATCAATAGGCAAGAAAAAGACCGAGTAAAGTATTTTAGTCCTAAAACATGCCAAACTCCTATTGATTTACATGCAGTTGAAGCTCAATACTTCATGTGCTCCTCAGCATCTTACTTGTGATGGTTCATTACAGCCAACTCTGTACTAAATACATGACAGTTGCTTATTAGGATGTGTGTTCTAATCTAGGAGCCATTGTCAGAGCTCTTCAAGTTACATTCTCATTTACTCAGCGTACATATGTGGTCTACTGGCAGTCACGTCTGATTATAGATGGAAGACTCTCATACATGTCTCAAGTTGATGTATGTCTCTGTTCTTGGATGTGGTTAAAAAAAAAAGATTGTACTTACATAAGAAAAAACAAAGTTTTTGCAAACTGTGTAAAGCAGTTGTCAAGGACACTCAATATTCCTCCTGCTCATGCTTTGTAACTGAAGCTTCATGGAAATCTCTTGTCAGCTCAACCTCAGAAAGGAAGATCATCATACACTGACTGTTGGAAACTAAGAATATTTACCTTGGATCTGCTCAGAGTTCTTAAGCACAGATGTCTGATTATAAGAAGTCAGAAGGAGCTATGGTATTCAGTGTCACTCACAATTGTACAGCACCAACAGTGTTAGGTGTTCCCACAGGTATGATCTAATATTAATAGTAGACTATATGACATACGTTGTCTACAAAACTGTTGAAGTATATCAACTTTTTTTCTTTATGTAGAAAGATAGAAATATAGGAAACCTATTTACCAATTTAAAAAAAAAATGATTCCACAAGTTTGCATGATTTTGAAGATATCTGCACAATATGCTTTAATATATTTTCAATATGTTACACAGGTGATTCCATGGGAGCAGATGAAAAATTTTAAGAACGAGGGACACGGTGACAGTTGCGTCATCAAAGCACCAGGCCCATCATGCACCTTGTACATCCAACATTTTGTTGATGCCTTTGCACTGGAAACAAAACAGCACCATATATTACCAGAAATGCTTTATTACAGATGCAGTCAGGAACACCACCTTACAGTGCCTCAGTTCAGAGTTGCAGTAAATTATCTGTGAGTACTTTTTCCCCCCCAGCATCCAAACTTAAGACTGATTAAAATTTCCTTTGCTTTTCTATATGCAATGGAACGTTGGGGTATTTCAATGTGTCCCCTTTCCTTACCCTGTGAAATCAAAAGTAACATTAATAGAGAAAAGATAGATAAGATAAATGAGGCAATACCTTTTATTGGGTCAAATTCTGTGGGTGGAAGAGACAAGCTTTAAAGTTTCAGAGCTCTTCTTCAGGCCAGGAAAAGGTAACCAGAGTGTCACAGCTAAATACAAGATGGATCAGATTGATAGAAAGGCATCTGGTACTATAGAGATGGGGCTAAATAAGTACCAATAGAGAAAATATAGGAAGTCAGGCAGATGTATAGCATAATGGTTCGAATGATGGATAAGTTAGATTTTTAACACCAGATTTAAGTTCCAGGATGAAGTCACGCCAGAATGTTACCCTCTGGACAGTGACGTTTTAAGAACCTATGCTAGCAATGCAACAATGAGGAGAATCGATCTGATAAGATTCACAGTAGTTGTGAAGAAGTGGAACAACTGTGACATCTTAATCTTCGCCTTTCTATTTGTGTATATTTTGTTCCAGGATTTGCCTCTTTTACAAGGGACAAGTGTCTTCCCAGAGACATCATAAACCAGTTAAATGATTGGAGGGATTTATTTTAACTCTGGGAGACTTGATAGTCTAAAAAAAGAGGTTACTCACTCTTGCTAGCCCTGGAGTTCACATCTGTTGGCTGTTGTAGCTGTTGTGTGCATGGATTGGGACCTTGTCTGCTCCCCTCTGGCTTGTTCCTTTGAATGAGCGTAAGGGGATCTAACTACTTTGTTAACCTTTTCTTATTGTGGCTGAAAACCTTCCAGTAACAGACAAGCTACAACACAGATGGTTTAAACACTTGTATCCTTCAGCATCCCCATGTATAAGGTCCCATCCCCTTGGGTAGTGCTAAGGGCTATACATTTGTAGAGTCCAGAAGCACAGTATCACCAGAAATAGATATAATACCAAGCCATCATGAAAATGTTCCCAATTAGCTAAATTCAATACAGCTTTAAAGAAATTATATCAAATTAAATCTTTAGTTGTAACAGTTGAGCTCAAGAGCATTGGTAGGAAGGAAGGATTTGTAGAGACAACTGGCACTTATGCAACTGGAACTGAGAAACTATAGCCATTTCTTCTTACAAAAGATACAGGGCCAGATTCCTACCTTTCCCCATTCTAGATGTTTCCATTTATAGAGGGATTTCCCTCTGTGACACAGAGCTAGCATAGCACAAGGGCCATGTCAAGGACTGGACCAAAGGAAAGGGGGTGTAGTCAGAGTGCCAATGTGCTTGGGCAATCCTTGGCTTGCGGCCTGTTGTAGCTGGGCACAACTTAATCTTCATTCCTGTAGCCATGACATTAGTCTCCATAGCTGTCGCCAAAAGCTAGATGCGCAGAGGCTACAGGGCAGGGAACACTTCTTAGTTATTATGTATGTAACTGTCACATAAACAGCATTGCTGTCAGGCTGGATGCACCACAGGGTTTTTAAGACTGCTCTGTATTAGAGTATGTTATTGAGCCATCAAGTAGAACAAAAATATGCAAATAGCCTTAGTTTATAATGAGCAAGTGTATTGTTTTGAACACTAGCATTCTCCCAGGATTTTATGCTGCAGCCCCTTATTTATTGTCTGCAACAAATAAGACTTATAAACAACTTTTGTGAAAGTGGAGACTTTGTGCTTATTAATGGCTTGATTTAATTTCATGTTTGCGTCTTGTGTTAAATACCATTCATTCTGTTTGCTCTTCCCAAGTAAAGTTCTCTCATCCCAAAAATTAACCAGAACATAACCACCACATTCTCATTGCTTAGAATCAAACAATTCAACCTGACTTAAAATTGCTTATTGTAATATTAAATAAACCTTTAAAATGAGCATTTATACTGTAAAGTACTGTAATCCTTATTTTAAAATAACATTACGTAAATATACTGTAAAAATAAGTTAGATGCAGTAGTACATTATATATTAGTGCACTGTAAAAGATTCTGTATTTCTTGCCAAAGTACTTTGAGACATGATTTGCCATTTGCTGTAATGAGAAATCACTATTTATTTATTCACAGTTTGAACTAGATGTAAACAGCTCACTTTGAATACAGTAATTTAAAAAAGCCCCAATTTTTAGATAATTACCTTCACTCCATGAAGAAGTTATTTGACAAAGTTGAAAGTGACAAATAATTAGTAAACAAGTTACATTGAGGATCCATTTCTTTTAAAGAATATAAGGTGTTTTTTTAAAAAAAAAGCTTTTAAAAGAAATATATATTTATTATTTAGAAACCCCTCAAAATTTGAAATTTAAATTGGTTTCCTTCGTGACAAGTTGCTCTTTATCATTAACTCACATTTGATATAGAGCAAAATGAAGTTTAGAGAATTACAAGGAAAAAGTGAACCATCTCCTCAAAAGCAGACAAGATAGATTTAGTTTGAAGCTTCTAGCCAGGACCATTACTAACATGAGAAATCATGGGCTTTAGTCTAGAAGGAAGGCAGAGTTCAGTGAGTAGGCTTTTTTTTTTTTTTTTTTTTAAAGTGATGATGAACTTAAACAACTATTGTGTGAATATACCTAACTTTCAAGGAACTTTTTAAGTTATGAAAGATTTATGGAACACCGCCCTTCTCCCACCCCCGGGGAAAACTAATTGTGTAGCCAATCCAAACATTACAATGATAAATTTATTTGGAGAAAAAAAAACATAAGAGACAGCCTAATGCTCCCCTCTCTGCAGACCCACACTTTGAAATCAGGTACATCAAAGAAATCCAAAAAAGTACAGCAGTGCTATGAGTCAAGAAAGTGGGAGAGATGACACAGGACACCTAAAAGTGCAAGCTGACTTTTTGACATGCTGTTTTCAAAAAGGATCAGATGGGAGAAAGGATACATGCTCTGGAAATGTGAGACTTTACTTTCCTGTATGTACATGAATGGTATGTATCTGGATTAGTTTTTGCAGGGTGAAAGGCTAGCCAAATTATGCATAGAGTTTATTTTTTTTAATCTGATTTCCTATTCTTAATAAATCTTGTTTTATTACAATCCCTTTGGTTTTAGACTGTTTGGGAATTTCATATCGACCACGTCTAATGAAATGAAAATCTTCAATCGCTCAGAAGCAATAGTGAAGGCGTCTAGAGTCCACACTGCTCAACATCCTCAATTCAAAGGGCATAGACCATCCTCTCCCATTATAGGTGTCAAGAGATCTTAAATGAAATGAACCAAAGAAAACACCCACCAACCATGAACAACAACAGAGTTTATATGGACGTCCTTGTTAATGTTTTGTCCTCTGTCTTGTGCACATAACAGTTTGCTATTGTGCACTGCTGACTTTTCCTGGTTTTAACAAAAATAAAAAAAATCAGTCATTGAGGGCCAGATTGTAATACCCTCCTAGCTCGCTCCAGGAGTAGTTCCACCGATGTCAGTGGAGCTACTCCTAAAGAAAGACACTACTCAATGAGTAAGGGTACCATAATGTGACCCTTAAGAAGAATGATATGGACTTTGTAAAAATGTGGTTTTACCAACTTTGAGTATGTAACAAACAGAGTATTTGCATTTGGGAAGATAAATCATGACAACCAATTTGTATCAGATTTTTAAAAGATGGTTTTTATTAAGCACAATCAGCTTTTAATACATATCAATACAAATAGGAAAACATCTGTTTGATGAATCGGATATATCAAAGATTTGATGGGCAGGCTGCATATTGGCATAACAGAAATGGTCATTTTTAAAGTATTACAAATTAAAATTATAGGGTCATCACTGTCTACACAAACAGGTAGCTTACCTACAGCCTAAAAATACTACATCACTGGGGGGAGGGGGGGGGTAAAGAGAGCTACTGTTTCATATGTGGAATTTCTACATTCTGATTAGCACCATTCAAAGCTTATGTCAGCTGTTTAACTAAGAAGCAACTGACAGGTCAGGGTAAAGCTTTACAGCAATTTTTCAGTGCAAGGTTTACAGTTCTTTTTGATAAGATACTTGGAATCTATGGTTTTATAGCATGTTAAATAATTATGGCTTGGCAGATGTACAGTGTTACGATGTTGAGGAGCAATGTTTACTTTGAAAAAGATGAGGCTTTTATAATGGCTATGAAATGCATTATGTCAAATGCTGTAATATTCAGACGACATGCTGGGTTACAAACTGAAGTCTTATTATGAGCTGGTAGATAAGGGTCCAGTCTATTAGCTCTCTGGGGTAGTGGCTTCTGGTTGTCTCAGCTGCTGCTTTTTCAGGCTAAGGAGCTTCATCTTCTCTCTAATGTGTTCTGCTGTAGAAGCCATGTCACTTGGGCTCCCAAAGTACTGCTCAGTACTAAAAAACAAACACACACACACAAAAAAAGGTAAAACAACACTAGAATTCTCATGCAAATAAAAATAAACTTCTGAAAACTTCAAACAGCACAGAAATATAGGTTCTTTTCTGCTTGTAATTTTAAATGCCAACTTCAGTGGGTTTAAGAGCAGACCCTAAATTGTAATTTTGCTATGACTGATCAGAAAATAAACTCAGGACAGAATGAATATGGAGACTGAACTATCCTCTCATTCACCAAAGCAGTCCCTTCAGAACAGCGATGAAGCATGTTAGCAGGTCAACGTAAGTTTGCTTTGCCACTCCCTGTGCTACATTTGTTCTGTTCTGTAGCTGCAGGATGCCCAATCTGGCACTTCTGAGTACCAGATTCATTTTTAAAAAATGTGTAATTGTTATAGGCTTTTTTACTTTAATGTCCAAATAGTCAGCAAGGCAAATGTTTCTTTAATAAATATTACAACACAGTAACAAGGTTATTTGTACTGGAGTAACACCCAAAATGTGCTATACAAATTCATAATACATCAACAACTTACACAAATACATGACATATCTCCTTATAGCTACAAGAAAAGAAAAAAACTGTCCATTTAATTAATTTAGATTATGCTAAAAGAATATGAAGTTTTTCTTATATAAATACTACTTCTCTGACAAAGTCATTGTCTAACTAATGGGGGTTTGATTTCATCATATAGCAACAGACACAAGTGATCAATGACATTGCAGCACCATTACTGGTTGTCCTGGGACTGCTGTTACCTTCCCTAACCATGAAAGCTGAGCACTTGTAGGAAAAAATAGACAGTACTTACAAGCTAGGAAATAGAGGAGAGGTTAGAGTGAAATTGGTTTAAAGAAAGGGATGGCACACTCAATCATAGAGGGACACTGTCAACTTGAAATCTAATGAACTTTAAAAAATGAGTTAAAAGTGGTTTCAGGTAGTACACTTGCCCCTGAATCCACCTGTCAATTCTTGTGGTTTTTCAACCATAGTCCCTTGCTCTCTTAAAAAAAATTTTTTTTCTCCCCTCTTGCCATGGAAAAGACCTATAGAAGAAATACTTTACTGACAACTATACCAGGAAGAGTGAAGTTGACTATACCAAAAATGTCAAATGCACAAAGTAAACTGAAAAAATTGAGAAAAATATTTGTTCCTCTCATCTCTTTCAACCTCAGCAATCAGTGGTGTTGCAGGTAAGGAGAGAAGATAAAAACTGTTCAGACAGAAGTATGATTTTTAAGTTGACAAATGTCCCTTACAGTAATTTATCCAGAAAAGTGCAAAGCACAACAAAAAAACTGACTGTCCTTAAAAAGAGGTGACATTTCAGAGAAGGGACTATTAAAAAAAAAATACTAACACCACTATAACCACACAAAAGTACATGAGAGGCATTAGAGATGGACCCAGTTTATCAGAAAAACACCATTTCATGTAAGAAAGATATCCCATTCCCGGAAATGGACAAAGTCTCATTAACAAGATACAAACTACACAGCAATTGCTCTAACCAAAGGGTAAGATTGCTTCTCAGGAACAGAAATCAGAGCAGTTCTTCATAAAGCATGCTTGTCTACTCTATAATGTATATATGGAAGAGCACACAGCAGTTGTGCAGACCCATTCTAGGTAAGCACTGGATTTGGCCAAAGAGGTAGTATTTCTTCTAGTGAAATGGGTCTTAACCCAATGAGCATTATAAGAATAACTGATACTAGCCAGGATTAAATTTAGAAAAAGTATAGATAAATATTCCCACAAATAAAACACTCAGACTGGCTTTGCCAGTATTAGTAAACGTTCAGAGGAATAAGTTTCTATTTGCAAGAATGATGGCAGGCAGCAAAAGCATCCATTAATTTATGAATAAATATTTGCATTGGAAATGCTCCTTCCATCATTCTAATAGCTAAGTGTAAGGAGACAGAAGGTGTGAGCAACATTTTAAAATACAACAAGCAGCAGTGGTGAACTGCCCCACATCCACCACATGAAATGAAGGAGTAGTACCTCAGCCTGCCAGCATTTCAGAGCCTGGGATAAGCTTGGTCTTTGGGCTGGTTGCCTGGAGAGCAATAAGGAGGAGGAAATGACTGCTTGGGACCTTCACCCATTTTTTAAGGTGGCCCCAAAGGTTGAAACTTTACACATATCCATAACCATCAAGGGCCCAGAGGTCTTAGGGAAAAGACTTTGTGAATGACTGAGGGGAGGTTTCCAGTACTTTATTTTGCTTATGTTTATTTGTTTTGATTTCTGGTTACAATCATCCCTGGAAGAAAACCCTGACTGACCAGCAACTGGGTCTTGTTTCAGATAACTCGTTTTCAGTTTTCAGTATGTGAAATGGACATTTCAATGACAAAGAAATTAAAACATGTTTAAAAAAGAATTGGTGAATTTTAAGTGTTCATGAAAGATAGACAGTGAACTCAGCCCTTACATAAGCAAGAACCAAGCATGCTTTTCTGTATTTCTATTGCAGCAGTGTCTAATTGGAGCTGCACCTAAAGACAATTTGAAAACTTCTGGTAGTGCAGAATGTGGCTACCTGCTTACTCAGCAGCACTTCTCAGAGGGAGAACATCTCACTCAAGCTCCCAAGCCTGTAGTTCAAAGTATGAGTGCCTTGTATGCAATCCTAGTCACTATGGATGGAGTGCATGGAAATAAAGAATACAGTTGAAAGCAATGGGCAGACTATTTCTATTGCTGATTTTTTCCCATTGGCTAGCTATGGAGTGGAACTGCCCCCTTTTCTACTCCTGAGAAAAAAATCCTGATAGCAGTTCATTACATTGGTGTTTAAGCACATAAGAACGGCCATCCTGGGTCAGACCAGTCCATCTAGCCAGTATCCTGTCTTCTGACAGTGGCTGGTGCCAGATACTTCAGAGGGAATGAACAAACCAGGGCAATTTTGAGTGATCCGTCAGCTGTCATCCAGTCCCAGCTTTTGGCAGTTGGAAGTTTAGGGATACCCAGAACATGGCATTGTGTCCCTGACCATCTTGGCTAATAGCCATTGATGGACCTATTCTCCAAGAACATTCTTTTTTGAACCCAGTTATACATTTGGTGGTCACAATCATCATCCCATGGCAATGAATTTCATAGGTTGACTGTGCATTGTGTGAAGGAGTACTTCCTTTTGTTTGTTTTAAACCTCCTGCTTATTAATTTCATTGGGTGATGGCCTCGGAGGGCTACCGGTGCGCCTAACCAAGATGGGGCCCAGGGACGACCCCGAGGCCTTTCTCGTGACTTTCGAGCAGTTTGCAACCGCTCATTGCACATTGGGCCACTATCTTAGCCCCTTACTTAACGGGCCCAGTGCAATCTGCATATCGCAACCTCGATCTACAAGAGGCGCTGGACTACTCTAAGGTCAAGACAGCCATCTGGGACCAAATGGGCATCAACCCCGAGACTTACCGCCAGCGACTCCACTGAGAGCGGTACCCGCCGGGGGCCTGACCACAAGCCATGACACAGCAAATCCGTGACCTCTGTTGGAGGTGGCCAGAACTAGAACACCACACGAGCGTTCAAGTAGCGGAGACCGTGGCCCTAGAGCAATTACAGACCCTTCCTACCGGGGGGAAGGAGTGGGTGCAGCGGCACTGCCCGAAGACCCTCGCCGAAGCGACCTCCATAATGGAGGATTACCTGGCAGCAGAGGGAGAGGGGAAGGCCGGCTCCAAATTGGGAAACTTGGGTGAACGGAACCCAACCCCGGCACAGGGGGGCGCCCCGTTTGTATGCTCAGTCATCGGGGACCCCACCAACCTGCAGTGCAAGGGACCCAACCAGGGCGAACCTCGTGCGGAGCCAAGAGGACCCGTCAGGAAGGCAGAGCACCCCCCAGAACACCCCACCCAGAGAAGGAAAGTGGGACCGGTGTTACGAGTGCGGACAGATAGGGCATTTCCAGAGGGAGTGCCCATACATGGATTGTAATTACAGGCAGGTTTGGGCCGCTGGTCTACGTGCCCGGAAGTGGGAGCCTGGTAGGATCGTCGTACCAGTGAGAGTGGACAGGACATCTACCATGGCCTTGGTGGACTCAGGATGTAGCCAGACGGTTATCCGGGTGGGGCTGGTAGAGCCCACCGGCCCCACCGGGGCCCCCATTCGCCTGCAGTGTACCCCACTGTCTGAGTGCAGTTCGAGGCTGCTCAACAAAGAGGGTGCTGTCTAGTTGGGGTGGCCCTGAAGTTAGCTTACCCAGTGATTCTGGGACATGATTGGCCGGGCTTCGCTGACCTCCTGAGAGAGTGGGGTACCCGGCCCATGAGGAAAGGGGAGGGCACGGTCCGAAAGTCCTGGATTACTAGGCCAACCAGTGTCAGACGACCCCCTGTAGGGGCCCTCGGAGAATCCTGAGATAGCTGAAGGAGGCCAAGCCCTTACCACGGCCGCAACAAGAGAGGGCCAGGGATAGCTGGATGTCAATGCTGATTTTCTCGAAGAACAAATGGGGGACACCTCCCACAGCCAGGCCTGGGAGCAGGCAACGGGCTCCCTGGGGGAGGAAGACCCACCCCAACAGCGGCAGCAAGGCCCCCACTTTGAGATCCATAACGACCTACCCTATCAGGTGGTCCAGGAACCACAAGCGAAAGACCACGTGCGCCAACTATTGGTCCTGTGGCGGTTCCAGCGGAACTTACTCCACTTGGCTCACTCAGTACCTTGGGCCAGACATCTGAGGAGGGAGAAAACGCTGCAACGGGTGGCCCAGAGGTTCTTCTGGCCAGGAATCCATCAAGAGGTGCGGGATTACTGCGCCTCTTGTCCCGAGTGCCAGAAGGCCAGCCCAAAAGGGGTACCGAAAGCCCCCCTTTTGCCCTTGCCGGTGATTGGAATGCCCTTTGAGCGGATTGGCCTAGACTTGGTGGGGCCCTTGGAAAAGAGCAGTTCGGGCCACAAGTACATCCTGGTCGTCCTCGAGTATGCAACGCGGTATCCAGAGGCGGTACTGTTGGGGACCGCCACAGCCCTGGTCATCGCCAATGAGTTCCTGCAGATCTTTGCCCGTGTCGGTCTGCCACGGGAGATACTGACGGAACAAGGGACTAACATGACTTCTAGGTTGATGGCAGAGCTATGCCATCTGTTGAATATTTATGCTCAGTCTACCACCCTCAGATGGACGGGTTGGTAGAGAGATTTAACGGCACCCTGAAAACCATGCTGAGAAAGTTCGTGAAAGATGACCCTCGGCACTGGGATAAGCTGCTCCCAGCACTCCTCTTCGCCATGCGAGAGGTGCCACAGGCTTCCATGGGATTCTCCCCCTTCGAACTCCTCTATAGGAGGAAACCCCGGGGGATCCTAGATCTCCTGAAAGAAACGTGGTCAGAACAGGAGACCCAGGTCAGAGGATCCGTTCAATATATCCTTCACCTACGGGAGCAGCTCCGAGAGTTGGGAGCCTTAGCATAAGAGAACCTGGCGAAGGCCCAACGTAGTCAAGAGGCTCAGTACAATAAAGGGGCGAAGATGAGAAGTTTTGAGCCTGGGGACCACGTCCTCTTGCTGCTACCTTCCTCCGAATCTAAGCTGTTAGCAAAATGGCAGGGCCCCTTCGAGGTGACCAGGTGAATAGGGCCTGTCGACTATGAAGTTCAGATGTCGGGGTGAAGGAAGGCCACTCAGGTCTACCATGTGAACCTCCTCAAGGCCTGGAGAGACCGGGAAGGCCTGATGATCGCCCCATACCCTCCAGAACCCGAGTTGGGGCCATTGGCCGGCAAACTGGTGGAACCAGAGACAGCAGCCATAGGCCAGGAGCTCGACCCAGTACAGCAGGAACAGGTACGACAGCTGATATAAGCCTTCCCCACTGTCTTGTCAGCTCATCCAGGGAAGACCACGTTGACCAGCCATCATATCGCCACCATCCCCAGCCACAAAGTGAGGGAGAACCATTGCCCACTCCCCAGGAAGATGTGGGAGATGGTGCTGAAAGAGCTTGAAATGATGTTGGCCTGGGGGTGGTCGAAGAGTCAAGAAGCGAATTGCGGAGCCCAATAGTACTGGATGGAACAGTCAGGTTCTGTATTGACTTCTGTAAGGTGAGTGTGGTCTCTCGTTTTGATGCCTATCCCATGCCCTGGGTGGATGAGCTGCTGGAACGACTAGGTAACGCAGAATTCATCTCCACCCTAGACCTGACCAAGGGATATTGGCAGATCCCTTTGACACCTGCCTCCAGAGAAAAGACGGCTTTTCCAACACCATTTGGCCTCTACCAATTTACGATGATGCCTTTTGGGTTACATGGAGCCGCGGCTACCTTCCAGCAGCTCATGAATCAAGTGCTAAGCCCCCAGAGTTCGTATGCCACAGCATACATCGACGACATCGTCGTTTACAGTGCCAACTGGGAGGAACATCTCCAGCACCTCACCAATATGCTACGAGCTCTGGGCAAGGCAGGCCTTACCGCAAACCCAGCCAAATGTCAGTTGGGCCAAAGAGAAGTGACCTACCTGGGCTATACGGTGGGCCAAGGGAAACTCCACCCTTTGGTAGATAAGGTGGAAGCCTTGAGGAGCTATCCTATACCCATGACAAAAAGGCAAGTACGGCAGTTCTTAGAACTGGCCGGATACTACCGACGATTTGCCACGCTAGCCGCCCCCCTGACAGACCTGACAAGAAGCTCCTACCCATGGAAGGTCCAGTGGTTAGAAGACTGTGAAAAGGCTTTCTGTGCCCTGTGGGAACGGTTGACCCGGGAGCCAATATTGATGCAGCCCGACTTCACAAAGTCCTTTAACCTCCAGACTGACACCTCAGAGGTAGGACTGGGAGCCATGCTATTGAAAGAGGTGCGGGGCAAAGAGCACCCTGTCTTGTACCTAAGCCGCAAGCTGTTCCGCCGAGAAACCCGGTATTCCACTATAGAGCGGAGGTCTTTGCGGTTAAATGGGCAGTCGAGGCACTGAGGTACTACCTATTAGGGAACTCCTTCTCCTTGGTGACTGATCATGCACCCCTCAGATGGATTAATAACATGAAGGAAACGAATACACGAATCATGCAGTGGTACCTGTCCTTTCAACCCTATTCCTTCCATGTGTTACACTGGCCAGGGAAGGCCCATGGGAATGCAGACTTCTTTTCCCGAGTTGGGGGAGAGGAGAGGGAGGAAACGGTTAAGGGTCAGCCGGCCCTGGTGGCTGTTTTAAGGGGGAAGGTGTGTGACAGGGCAGAACGGCCCCGCACTGGTACCGCAGGGGTTAATCCTTCCTTCCTAGCAGAGGAAGCCATGCCCCGGAAGCTCTGCTGGGCATGCTCCAACTGGAGAACAGGTATAAAAGCCTGCAGAGCTGCTCAGTCTGGGCTGACCACCAGAGGGGAAGGAGGCTCCCGAGGAGGGACAGCCTGCGCGTCAGATCTGGCGGCCAGCCAAGCCAGGACCTACCCTGATACCCAGATGGAGGACGTCGCAGGAGGGGAACAGACTGGAAGACCACCCGAAGCGGAGAACCTGGCGTCTCTGGTAGGAAGTGACCCAGGGGGATTTTAGAGGCGAACTGCGTTAGAGCCGCACAGACACTCAGCGTGTTATGGGCGGATCCCCGCCAAGTGGGTGGCAAGGGGAGCTTGCCACTACCAGGGCCCTGGGTCAGGACCTGGTGGAGCGGGCGGGCCCGGATCCCCCTACCATCCCCCCACACCGCAGGAATCCTATGGACTTCGGCCGCTAGGCCGCACTACCCCACTTGCGAGCGGGATTGTATAGACTCTGGCCATTAGGCCGCACTGCTCCAATGCTGGTAGTGGTTTATAGGGACCTTGGTCATTGAGCCGCACTGCCCTGATGTTTGGGGTGAGTTACATGGACTCTGGCCTCTAGGCCGCACTAGCCCACTTGCAAGGGGTGACTGTGTGGAAGGAGGCCATTAGGCTGCAACCAGTCTCCCACAGAGAGACGGGCGCAGGAATTTGGGAGTGGCGAGGTTCTGACACCCCATCACACCCCTGCCACAAAGGGGCAGTGTGGTGGCAGGCCCGCCACAGATATCTATTCATGATGACTCTAACATGTCTTTCTTGAGTAATAACAGCTAATTGAAACCCCATAATTTTTATCTATAGTTGCAATTACATTGCGTTATGTGCATTACTTCGCACTTTTACACTTAATTTCATCTGCCATTTTGTTGCCCAGTCACCCAGTTCATTGAGATCCCTTTGTAACACTTTGTAATCAGTTTTGGATACAACTGTTTTGAGTAATTTTGTATCATCTGCAAATTTTGCCACCTCACTGTACACCCTGCTTTTCAGATATTTTATAAATATGAACAATTTCAACACTAAATGTTCTAATCACCTCTGCATATCATACCACTGCCAAACTGTAACAAAAGCATATTGAGAAAGTATTACAATAACATGTTCCATACCCATCAGGATAAACTACAGGCACTGTTAATCTGTCCAACAGTGATTTCCCAACTGCTTCAATTTCATCAAATTGCTCCATTTCATTAATGGCTTCCGGCTGCTCTGGAAATTCTTGCAAAATCTGTAACAAACAATATGAAAAAGTACAACAAAAGAGAGACTGGACAGTATCAAGCTTCTGCAGAGACATTAACCAGCATAGTTAATGCATCTTCATGTACACATTTATATAAAACCAGTCTGTAACAATCAAATACACTCAGAAAATCTAAAACAAATGATTAACCCACGCTGACAAGATAGTCTGGGCTGCTGCACTATGTGCCAATACATTTTACATTACTGCTAAGTAGTTCCAAATACATAAATGAATAAATAAATAAAATAAAACCACAACTCACCACCGGGTATTCCAACAACTAATTCAAATGCATACAAAAATAACCCGTATCAGCCAACAAGCTAAGTAGCAATTTGAAATACAAGCACATGAATAATAAAAGAGCCACTCAAATTATTCCTGAGAACTCCAACCAGTTTTTCAGACACTACACACTAGTGCAAAGGTCAACAGGTGTGAAAGGGTTAAAACACAGGACCATACAAATTGCTACCTGGATCTGGACCTAGTGTCAGTACTTCACTATATTTTCATCTAAAAATCCAAAGTCATCCTTTTCCTCTTCTGGTAAAGTTTGAGCAAAAGCGGTGCTTGTAAAAGGTCTGCCACCAGACTGGCAATGTTGAAGTGCTGATTTATCAATTGAATTGGTAAAGAGTATGGGCAGTAGCTGTGCAAGATTCTTCACAGCGTCCCACCAATATACCACAACGTAGTTGTAGGAAGACTACCTACCTTTATGGGTGAGAAACTAATTCTCTCTGCATATCCATTCACTTCTTTCTACTTAGACTGCCTACAAATGTGTCAGTGAATTATTTCCAATTATGAAAGAGTTTTTGTGATATGGACAACTCTACATTAAGAGCTGGACTAAGACAGTCACTTCATTTACCAACTCTTACCATTTATCATCAGATTTGAATAGCTTTCAGACACTGACCTAGATTTTCCCTGAATTGATAGCATAGCCACAAGAGTTGGTAGCCTATTATCAATCTCCTGAGCCTCCCAATACCCTTAAATCCAAAATGATTTCTAACTAAGAAAAAAATTATTGGAAGTCAGGAATATATGGATTAACTCTACAACAAGACTATGCTTCAATATCAAGGGCAGTTTTTCCTCACATTATGATAGGCTACACGCGCTCTTCTCTGTGACCACAACTAATACCCCAAAGGGGACAGTAGTGGGACACTTACTTTTATGATAAAGACAATATCAACACAGAGTACTCCTAACAATAACCCCTCCCCCACCCCTCCAAAAAGTCAGCATCAGAGCCAGGAAGTGAACCAAGTTGTTCTGGCTCCTAGTCCAGGGCCTTAACCACAAAGACTGTCCTTTCTCTCTTAGGTATTACTGTTGATTATACAGCCCTCTTGGGTCAATATGTTCGAATTGTAAGTAATTTAAAGCTAAGTGACTATGATAATCAAATGGAAGAGACAATGATTTACATTAATGACAGTTTTATGGGATTTATTTTACATTTCAAAGAGCTGAACTATAAAATATATTTTTAATATAGAAAATGCTATTTAATTTAGTTTTAAAAATGTAGAAAGCAAAATAAGCAGAATTCGATTGTAGTTCAATAAATACACAACAGGATTTAATTTATATGTTTATTTTTCATTTTACTTCAACTAAAATAGAACTAGTTTTTCTTCCTAAAAAAACTCACCTTTTCAGCATTTGAATGAAATGCAATAGCCATTTCCAACCTGTGTACTCTCTCTTCAGAAGTTATTGTAAACTGTTTCCATACTCTGTTTAGTCTCGGAAGTGTGTCTCCTGAGGACCTAGAAGTGCATCGCAGAGACTGGCACAGTACAACTGTAGCCTGTAGTAACTGTCTCCCATAATCATAAGTACTCTGCAAAGAATAAACAGAGTACATGTAAAATTCAGCTTCAGAATAGACAATGTGTAACGATACAGACAAACCTGCAAGAGATGAATTCTCTTAGATGTAATTCCACAAAGCATGCTTGCACTGATCTAGTCCAGTAAAATACATCATCTACAAATTATATGTGAATAATAATTAGTTCACTAAGTAGATGGCTATATTTCTGTCTTTTTTTTCTTTTTTTTAATGCCTATCAGGAGTCTCTGCATCAATGTGAGAGTTGCTTTTGAGATACAATGTAGTTCCTCGATCTCCAGTTACCTATATCCTGGAAACAGACATGAAACCCACATCTCTTGCACTGTAATTCATAGCTGTACCAATATGCCAGATGGCTGGCCCATATTTTTGCTACATTAGTTGCAATCACTTCAGAATTCGTTAGGAAAACCATCTCAGACATGTCCCATTTTTATCAACATCAAACTTCTTTTATGCTCTGCATTTCCTGTGCCCATCAGTACCTACGAAGGTCATAAGACTGCCAGCACCAATATGGGTACTGCAGCTTTAAAATCTTTCTAAATCTAATCACTGATTTTGGTTGTTAGTATTTCTCTAGGCAAGCATGGATGCAAAGTATGAAAACAGTTAACAGTGGAAACTCTACTACTGTCCCCCAAATTTATACCAAGTACAGCTAAAAGCTGCCTGTAGCTATGCAAAAAGTGAGTTTCTAGAATGAAGATAATCCACCACTCACCTGTGCAACATCAAAAAACTTTCGATGCTTTTCCAACAAAACTTTGGTTTCTTGAGAATCATCTCCCAATCTGATGTGGGTCTTAAGCAGAGCATCCAACAGTTCACTTAACCATTCTACTGCCTTAAAAAGAGAAGTAAATTAAAAGAATAGAAACTGGCTTTAAAGCTGATTAAAAAGAAAATCATCAAGTACACTGAGCCAAATTTAAATCTGAAATATCGCTTTGCATTTAAAAAATCAGAAAAGGTATCAACTAAATCAGTATTCTGTATATAACCCCCACTTCTAATCTGTTATTTTTATTCATTGCTATAATCTTTTACTCTTTGTGAATACTCTGAAGTAATTAAAAACAAAGTAAAAGACTAAATTTAAAAGAATCAAAAGAGAAAAATATACTTTAAAATTGAAAAAAGCATTTGTCAGCATAATATTTGCAGAAGTGGTTTGATGGTTCCTGTATGGGTCCTGCATTAAAATGAATGATTTTATTATTACATTTAAAAAAAAAAAAAAAAAGAGTTCTAATTCATGCATTTTAAATTTAGATTAAGATAAAAGCTGACATAGGATTACATAAATCACAGTCAAATTTCATAATCAAGACTGCCAATTAAATTAGATTCATCATAGAGAAAAGTCTGCATTTAGTACCAAGACACAGCCTGAGTGAAGAGCTATATGGTAGCCACGTTAGACAAGCCCTCAATATCTGGAAGCACCATGCCATCACAAAAGCACAATCACGTTTATGCAATACACATTTAAGGAATATTTCACACAGTTCAACCAACAAACATGTCTGAACGTAGCAGAACTGTGAAGTTCTATAGCCAGCCTTACCTGAGCAGCATCTTCTTCACATTTAAATAACTGAACCATCTGAAGCATCTTTAACCGTCGCACATCTACCATGTCCTCACACCTGAGGAAACCCAAACATTTAGGAATAAATGAAATAACCTCACAGAAAGAGTAACCATTCAGCACACTAAATATACCTTGGGAACGAGAGCTATGGTATCTCAATTTATGCATTTTTAAACCTACAGCATCAAGAAGTCAGTTTTCATGAAAAAGGTAATTACGCATTATTGTGCCACTAGCCTGATCCACACATGACTGGATTTTGCAATGCATTCTCATGAAACATGCAGTAAATGCAGCTGAGCACTAAAACACACTGATTTGTCAACAGCCATCACCTTCAAGACATCTTGATGAATAAAACTGGAGAATGTCTAAAATTCATCTGCATTTCCGCACTCCACCATTTTTAGCCAACTACTATTTAAAAGGTTACAAGATAAATTAATCATCATAAACAAGAACCATAAAGACTTTTAAGATTAGTTTGGATGATTTTCTTTGCTGTAACTCTTGTCGCAAACCATTCAAAATGTAATTTATATAAAATTAGTGCAGAAAGAGGATAGCTAAAACTAAACTCATGACATAATTAATTCATTTTATACAGTCATGATATGAAAATATTGGAAGCACTTTCCTGTCAACCTTCAGAGCTCAATATTATAATTCATTAATCTAAATAATGACTTCTCCCTCTGAATTTAAAAAGATATTTAGTTGAATATAGAGGGAGAATCAGAATCCTACATAGCTCAGTAACAAATTCAGATAGTTAATCATGATAGCAACAGTTAACTTTGTAAGTGACAGGATATGCACATGCACACGCGTGTTTTTCAAACAGGCTTTGTAATTTGCATGAGCCCAGCAACATATTAAAATTTTGAACTTTGTTAAGTGTGCCTTGCAGTGCTGCAATGCTTACACTGAGCAGCAGCTAGTTAAAGAGTGTGAGAAAACATGACTTTTAGATTCCAAGAATTTTAGTGATCTAGCCAAAATATCCCTAGAAATAAACATTCGATAGGTTTAGTAGCCAATATTTTACAATTCTTATTGTATTACTCACACACGGTTTGGACCTACCAGGAATCTTAGAACTATTTACAATTAGCTACTGCAAACAAATCTTGCAATTCAAGTGGGAAAATAAATTAAAAACTAATGCCTTGTCTGATTTTACTTTGAACCTGATTTGTATTCAGGCTAACTAAAGGACTTTTAGTCATACAAATTCCTTTGTGCATATCCATCAGAGGGGAGAAAATTCACATTCAGCTCCTAACCATATTGTTCTCTCTCTGGAAAAAAAATGTCAGTAATATTACAGATGAGGCATTCTTGTTATGGAAGCTGATGTACTTGAGCCAGAAAAATGTGCTTTTGTAGTGAGATGAATATTTTCAAAGATTAGTCCTTGGGCATTTCCTTTTATCTAGTATAAGTTGTGCAAATTAGGTAGAATTCTAACTGTCCAAACTTCTTTTCTCTGTCTGGTAGAAACCACAATAGTAATGGTAAGGAAAGTGTGGATTTTATTTAGTTCTGATGATCCAAGTTTCAATTATTTTAACAAAACCATGTGCCATATTAGTATACAAAGGATGTCATTTGTCAATATGAATTCAAAACAAACAAAAAGCCTCAAAGATTGCTTTGGCTAGAGCAGCTATAAGACACCTAGGACTTCTTGCTAAGATGAGAAAATGTTAAGGGGCTACATTTAAGTCACTTTCAAAATACATTTCTGTAAAAGGTAACGAAAAAATCTTGCACTTGAGAACAGCTGCTGTCCCTTCAACAGAGCTACAAAGCTGAATGGATTTATCAGGTGAAAGATCCTTCCTGGAGAAAGGTTTAGGACAGGTGGTCTTCAAACTTTTTTATCATGGGGCTCACATCTTAACAGAGAGGTTTTCTCGTGGACCAACACCTCTTCATCTTACACACCTGCGATCACACAGACCACCTCCTCTCCAACTGAGGATCATGCAACACCCCTGTGGCAACTACAACAATCATATTGGTGGAAAAGAAATATTGGGAAAATAATTGTCTTTAACACAATAAGGCCCCAATTCAGGAAGATTTTTGAGTAATCTATGTTTGCTCACATCTAAGTACACCTCTACCTCGATATAACGCTGGCCTCGGGAGCCAAAAAGCTTACCGCATTATAGGTGAAACCGCGTTATATTGAACTTGCTTTGATCCACTGGAGTGCGCAGCCCCACCCCCTGGGAGCACTGCTTTACCGCGTTATATCCGAATTCGTATTATATCGGGTCGCGTTATATCAAGGTAGCGGTGTATAAGAACAGAAGGGAGCACATGGCCTTATGTACTACCCTCTCACCTCTCACCCACACCCACCATCTAGCCCTGAAACGTAGCCATCTTTGGGTTTAGGAGTGTGCCACAACAACAGTTCTAGGGGAAGAAGAAAATAAAACTTCTCTCGTTTAAATGGAATGCGAGATTTAAGTCACCCAGATTGCAACTGCATAAATTAGGATTTCACCATCATCCCGTGGCTGAGTCCCATATAAACGAGGGTCTGATTTAAAATAGCATCAGGTTTTTTTGTTTTAAAGTGTAAAAATCATCATAACCACTAGAAGTGCTATTATTACCGTTGTTTTCTAAGCTGCATATCTTCCATCACTCCCTGGATGTGGTCCACATTTTCTTTGTTTTCTATGGTTACATCTTTTCCATAGGCCCAGGATGCCTGGTTAGATATCTGGTCAAGAAGACCTTGGCCTTTTTCACGCAAACCTTGCAGGCCTAAGTCTAAAACCAAAATAAATGAAAATATTTTGTTTGTTAAATCCGGTTAGTTTTCCCCATTCTTTGAACCCTCTCCAATTTTTCAACATCCTTCTTGAAGTGTGGACACCAGTACTGGACACAGTATTCCAGGAGTAGTAGCACGAGTGCCAATTATAGAGGTAATATAACCTTCATACTCCTACTCGATATTCCCCTCTTAATACATCCAAGGATCGCATTAGCCCTTTTGGCCACAGCATCACAATGGGAGCTCATGTTCAGCTGATTATCCACCATGATCCCCAAGTCTTTTTCAGCATCACTGATCCCAGGATGGAATCCGGCGTATTTGTATGTAAGGCCGGCATTCTTTGTTCCTAGATGTACAACTTTACATTTTGGTTGTATTGAAACATATTGATCTGAGAGCATCAATTAGATGCAGCATTCTATAATATTTACAGAATGCTAGGGAAAATGGATTTGTTATTTTTTTACCTGCTGGACCATGAAATAAATAAATGCGTTTCAAGGAAATGTCTGAGATTTAATAGTCAGCTATAATTGTTTCAGCATATATATAGGTAATTAGTGCATACAATCTTAAGCATACATATTTATTTCTAAAAGGTCTATCATTATCAGAGACAGTGAATGTCTGTCATGCAAAGAACATGCAGGCTATGATTTTAAAATACATTTTACATGGTTGACAAACTTTTGGATACTGTATTATGAAGAATCCTTCAGTGCTTGCCCTTAAAGTCTGTTGTTAAATCTACAGCACAGCATATTTATTGTGTGTCATTTTAATATAGTGTATGGTTTGAGGTATACACAATATAAATTACTGCACATGTGCAATAACTTTTCAAATTTAATTACTTCAGCTATTTCAATTTTAATATATCTTTTCATTCCACAATCTCTCTTCCTACTTACTGCCCTTTCCCTTATAATAAAGCTAACATATGGCATTTAGAGTCTGTAAAAAAAATTAATTACAAGTCTTATCATTGCAAGCATCCTAGCTAGGGCTGGATAGGCAGAACATAACTCCCTTCAGAATTTAGATAATTCATAAAGGATTCACTGTTTGGGAACAGGAGGGTCATCTTCCTCCAGGGAGATCAGGATATAATTCTTGCAGTATATTCCTATGCTCTGACTAGGCTTGGGGAAAGAGAGGTGCAGTCCAAGATTCAAACTCTAGGTTTGTTGCTAAATGTAAATACAGTAACTCCTCACTTAAAGTCGTCCCGGTTAACGTTGTTTCATTGTTATGTTGCTGATCAATTAGAGAACATGCTTGTTTAAAGTTGTGCAATGATCCCTTATAATGTTGTTTGGCAGCTGCCTGCTTTGTCCACTGCTTGCAGAAAGAGCAGCCCATTGGAGCTAGCTGGTGGGGGCTTGGAACCAGGGTGGACCGGCAGCCCCCCCATCAGCTCCCTGCTTCTCTAAGTTCCCTGATGGCAGCCGCCCAGCAGGCTATCAATTGCCGGCAGTTCAGCTGTCCCTCCCTCCACTGTCATGTGCTGCTCCTGCCCTCTGCCTTGGAGCTGCTCCAGGGAGCCTCCTGCTTGCTGTGTGGGGTGGGGGGGTGGAGAGACAAGTAATGCCCCCCTCCCCCCTGCTTACCCCATCTCCATAGAGCGGGGTTGGGGTGGGGAACAGGGCTCAGGACAGAGGGAGCTTGCTGGCAGCAGCTGCTGTCTCAACTTGCTGATCTACTTAAAAAGGCAATGTACTTAAGAGTGCGGTAAGTGTACTTAAAGAGGCAATGCACATCTCTCTCTCTCACACACACACAGGGTGTGTGTCTGTCTGCCATGCTGTCTCCCCCTCTCCATTTGTGCTGCCTTGTAGAGCGTGAGGCTACATTAACAACGTGTTAACCCTTGAGGGCTCAGCCAATTGCTAGTTCATCATTTATCAGTAAGGCATTCCCTGGGAAATATCCCACGCTCTTCTACCCTCTGACTTCACCATCTCAACCAAGCTTCACAATCATCATTGCTGTGTACAATATTAAATTGTTTAAAACTTATACTGTGTGTGTGTGTGTATGTGTGTGTGTGTGTGTAAAATATAGTCTTTTGTCTGGTGAAAAAAATTTCCCTGGAACCTAATCCTCCCCCCATTTAAATTAATTCTTAAGGGGAAATTGGATTTGCTCAACATCGTTTCGCTTAAAGTCGCATTTTTCAGGATCATAACTACAACGTTAAGCGAGGAGTTACTGTACTGTAACAATATATTTCATTTGTGTGCATATTACTTTTATCATTTGTCATATAAACTAGCCACAGAACACGGCACAAACAAATATGGGATAAACATGCAGTAGAGAATGCAGGTTTTACAGCTAGGGGAGAGGTGATCTTACTATATATAAGAAAGGGGTGAAAGAGTGTAAAGGAAGAACTGAGCAAGGGGGAAATTAGTTTAATATATTAAATAAAAATGGAAAAAATTGTCCTCAGCATTTGTCCCTTTCAAGTACTTGATCCAGTATAATTTATATTTCTGTATTTCAGCAATTTTCTGCTTACCAACACTTTTCAGCTTCTCTTCAAGCAGTTTTAAAGTTTGCTGAATTGATGCTCCATCAGCTGGTGCTACATCTACACACAACATCCCTAATAAGCCATCTAACTGCTGAGACAACTGAAATAGAGAGGGATAAAGACAAACCTTATATCTGATATGTAACCATTCCTTGTAATGAAATCGTTACAGTTGCAATTAATACTTAAAAGATATATAAGCACTCTCAGTATTGCCAAGCCCAAGCGCTCCAGAATCATGAGTCAGGCTCCCCAAAATCATGAGATTAGTTTAAAAATAATGAGATTAAAAAAACCAAACAAATTTTGGGTTCTTTTTCTTTGCCTTCTGGTTCCTGAGCATTTAGGTCACTTACATCAAGTTTTCAAGCTTTTCTCCACATCCATAAAGGCTAGAAACTTATTTTTTAAATGAAAGCTGAAATTATCACCTAATACATGGTTACAGCAACTGGGCTTTAAAGAAAAAACACCATGTCCTGTGATAAAATCCACTTCAGACAAATAACAGCTTGAAAAATATCTTGCAGAGAAACTCTGAAGAACATTCTACCCCATGCAATAGAACCAGCCAGTCAAAAAATATAAGTAAAGAGAAGTTAGCTGAAACTCTTATCATGATTTATTTTACAACTTAAATATCACAGAAATGTAAGGCCAAACCAAGAACATCTAGTGCAGGGATTGGTAACCTTTGGCACGCGGTCCATCAGGGAAAGCCCCTGGCGGGCCGGGCCGGTTTGTTTACCTGCAGCAGCCGCAGGTTTGGCCAATCGCTGCTCCCACTGGCTGCGGTTCACCGTTTCAGGGCAATGGCGGCGGCGGGAAGCGGCGGCCAGCACATCCCTCAGCCCACGCCGCTTCCCGCCGCCCCCTGGTATGGTGAACTGCGTGCCAAAGGTTGCCGATCCCTGGTCTAGTGTTACAATACACATTCCTCTTACAAAACAGAAGGCCTCAGGCTTAACAATAGTATCTCAATTAGGCTACCAATAAATGAAGACTTTTGCATTTTTCACCGAAGTTACTTTTTCTCAATACACCTTGTACAAGATAGTGAACTTTAATAATACTATGTCAACGGTGTATCGGCAAGTAAGCCTGTAAACACTTAAAACCAAGCTTACATCTTGGGCAACACCATGGAATTCAAGCGCTGCTTGTAACAGATTTTGCCTAAATTCCAGCTGACTGGCCTGCCGATAACAGACATCGCTCAACTGTTGCTGTAGTGCTTTCAACTCTACCAGGTCCTCCTCATCCCCAGCATTTAGCAGTGCTGCAATCTGCTGATTAAGCTCCACATATACGGCGAACCACTCCTACAAAAAAAGAGCAAGAACCACATGATTAAAGCTTTAAAGTAACACCAAAATAAATCTATTTCTTTTTAAATGACATGCATTTGAATGTATCGAGCATTTTATTATGTTTTTCTTTATGGGACATCAGTGGAATCTTTCAGCTACAAGAGCAGTAAGTGTAGGTTTATGCAGCACTTTGAAAATTTACATGCCAAGAAGCATTTTGCATCCTGTATCAGGATGGATAAAAATCGATGATTCGAAAATGGACAATTAAATAATCTGATTTTTTAAAATTTAAATACAGATATACTTTTAAAAAATAAATACATGTAAAATTAAATATGAAATTGACAACCTATTTTAAGATTTAAACTACTTAAAATCTATTAAAATCATCTAAGTTAAATACAAAAAATAATATTAAGCTGTACTTGTTTGTTACCAAGAAAGTCAAACTGAACTGGTAGAAGTCACTGGCTAAGCACCTAGAACCAGAGTTTGTTGAAGTGATAAACCAGCTTTTATGCAGTATTGTTGTACTAGTCATGTCAGTCCCAGCATATTAAAGAGACCAGGTGGGTGAGGTAATATCTTTTATTGGACCAACTTCTGTTGGTGAGAGAGATAAGCTTTTGAGCTACACAGAGCTCTTCTTCAGGTTTTCTTGAGGTCTGGAAAAGGTATTGAGTGTGTCACAACTAAATAGAAGATTGAATAGATAGTTTCGCATAAGTAGTACCTTAAAATAAGTGCTAACTAAGAATGCAAAAATTATCTGTTTGACCTTGTATTTAGTGTAACTCTCTCAGTATCTTTCCCAGACCTCAAGAAGAGCTCTGTGTATTTCAAAAGATTGTCTCAAACCAGCTTCTGACAGCAGGAGCCTTTGCTGCAGGTGCAGAGAGAATACTTTTTTCACTTCTGTTTATTCCAAGTTAAGAAACCAATTGGGATTTGAAAAAGCAGGAAAAGCTTGTTTTCCTTTTCCAATCGATGGCTACGTCTAAACTTGGACCTAGAGATGCAACTCCCGGCTCAAGTAGACATACATGTGCTAACTCTCATCAAACTAGCATGTTAAAAATAGTCACCACAGTAGCACTGACAGAGGAATGTGACAGCATAGGCTAGCTGCTCCAAGTTCAAACCCAACTAGATACTGTAGGTATGTACTCGGGATGGCTAACACGTGCCTTTGCTCGCCACTGCCCATGCTGCCACAGCTACACTACTTCTTTTAGCGTACTATCTCCATGAGAGCTAGCACAGTTATGTCTACGTGAGCTGGGAATCATAACCCTAGCTTCTAGTGTTGAGGTAGCCTATAAATAAAAACTAGGTGTGAGAGGGTGAGATCTGTTAGTTCTAAAATCTTGAAGTAACCAAAAACAAACAGTTCAGTCAATTAACTACCAATAACACTTCCTTTGTCTAATACATCAATTAGCTTGAAATGCAAAACATGTTTTGATAAACTTTTTTTTCCCTTATGTATCCATCACTTTTAAGGTAGTTTTATCTAATAAAAAATATATATAAAATATTGGTTGTGTACATTTGTAACTGAATTTGAATTACCACCCAACCAGAAGTTCACAAAAAATCACAAGCAAAATAATTAATCTAGTAAATAAGAAATGCCTCATTTGCCATTTTCCAACCAAATTAAAAATATAAAATTTAAGTATATAACTGCTTAAATCAATGTGCATATCCCCCCGTTAGCAAAAAGGAGCACCAAAATGTAGAGTAAATAAAGGATACATTTAGCTGCGAATCAACATGTTTTAATGGTTAGCAATTAATGAGAATCAACCTCTCTTTAGAAAAACAACTAAAAGTATAAATGAAAACCAATTGAAATCAATTATTTAAATCAAGGTTTCCTGCTTGTTGATTTAAATTGTGATTAAAATTGGTGATTTAAAATCAATCCACTCTGCCCTATATCAATTCAAATATAGTTGCAAGTTTTACAAAAAAAGTATGTATTTCTGATACTACTGATACTACTTGAAGGTAGGGGGGAGGTCCATTGTCACAAACTCTAAACTCAACCTGCCTATTGGCATATACTGCAAACACATTCCCATTAATAGTTGCTTGCACAGCACAAAAATTCCACTGTCTAAACATAAACCATTATTTAATTATCATTATGGTATTCATGTTATGCTACAGGAACAATGATAAGGCTCTAGTATGACGTTAAACCATTATTAAAAGACTGCCTTTGAATCAAATGATATTGCTTTCAGCAATATTACTACTGCTAGCAATAAACTTAGAAATGTTATTAGAAAAATATTTTAGGCAGAGTGAATTAAACATCTTTCAAATAAAATGGGGCAGCAAAATATAGAAACAGGTTATTCTAAAGTTTCTTCATTATATGAGAGAAGGTGTCTCCAAAGTGTTCCCGTATATACCTTTATATTGTTGAAACCATAATATACAGCTTTAGGTAAGAAAAACATTTCAAATGATGGAGAATTCATGGAGAATGAAAGCCTACTTCATATATCAAGATAAGAAATCCAATGTTCATCTGATGTTGTTATAAACTTGTAATACCAAATATGGCTGCTAGACATGTTTGTTATTTTGGTCTACTGACAAGATGACCTTCAAACGTCCTACTTAATTCCAACATAAGAGAATAGTGCCACCTATTGGTTGTATTAATGAAATACCTGATTTAGTGATTAATGCTTTATTTTGTCATTGCCCAATAAACAAGGCAAAAATGGTCAATTGTAGCAAAAGCTGCCAATATCTAACAGAATTAAAACTACAAGTACACTGTTGACTATTTCAATAACAAGACTCGCAACGCACTTAATCAAGGCTATTTAAATCAAATGACCAGCTCTAAACCCAAATTGACCAGACTCTCACAGGTCATGACCATGAAGAAAAGGCAGAAATTTGACTAAAGACAATGAGCTCAAGTATATTAGACATGCAGAGAAACTATGAAATAGGTCACAAATTGCTTATTATCTAGAAATCTAAAGCAGTTCCTTTTCAAGACTGGATTCACATAGAATATTAAAAACAAATAGAAGCATTTCAGAAACTAAAGCAACATGAGAGCAATACGGTCAATAATAAATAGAAGACGTTTCCAAAGTAATGAAGGGGGAGTTGGGGAGGGGAAGAGCAGTGGAGAGGAGATAAGATCAGACACGCACCCCGTTTGACTTCAGAAATGAGGGAAGAAATAAATATCTAGAGCAGTGGTTCTCAAAGCCGGTTCGCTGTTCAGGGAAAGCCCCTGGTTGGCCGGGCCGGTTTGTTTACCTGCCGCATCCGCAAGTTCGGCCGATCGTGGCTCCCACTGGCCGCGGTTTGCCGCTCCAGGCCAATGGGGGCTGCGGGAAGCAGTGTAGGCCGAGGGATGTGCTGGCCGCCGCTTCCCGCCGCCCCCATTGGCCTGGAGCGGCGAACCACGGCCAGTGGGAGCCGCAATCAACCGAACCTGCGGATGCGGCAGGTAAACAAACTGGCCCGGCCCACCAGGGGCTTTCCCTGAACAAGTGGCGGACCGGCTTTGAGAACCACTGATCTAGAGAGACTGTAGAAAATTAGGAAAATGATAAAGGAGGAAGAGACGAAGGCAGACAGCAATTGGCTCCAGATCAATTATAGGAGATGCTCCCAGATTAGAGGGCAAAAACAAGCACACGCACTCAGGCACAGAACTACTTTGAAAAGTGACTTTGTAAATGGGGTTCCATGTTTAATATGTCAATGATTTCCAGATCAAATTTGCTTAATTGATAAGTCTAAAGATGTTTTTTTCTAACTGTCAGTGCTGCAAATTCATACTGGGACTGAAAGCCAGGCTGTGTTCTTTCCTGCTTGTGCATTATCAACAGTGATATTTATTCTGTAGGCCAAATTCAGACTTCAGTCACACCTCTGCACCCCATGGTCTGCGGTGGGATTGTAAGGACCTGAGGACAAAAGTTGGACCTCCAATAGAACTTAGCTCATTTTGTTAATGATGTGTAAGCATGAATGGAATTCAGCCCAATCTTCCATATCTATGTCGTTCTACAATACTAAAATGAATAAAATATTACTATTATTTTGTTATTAAAGCAAGCAGATATTACTCTCTATACCAGGGATCGGCGACCTTCAGCACGCAGCCCATCAAGGTAATCCGCTGGCAGGCCGTGAGACATTTTGTTTACGTTAACCATCTGCAGGCACAGCCCCCCGCAGCTCCCAGTGGCCGCGGTTCACCGTTCCTGGCCAATGGGAGCTGCGGGAAGCGGTGGCCAGCACGGCCCTGCGGCCCGCGTCACTTCCCGCAGCTCCCATTGGCTGGTAACAGTGAACCGCAGCCACTAGGCGCTGCGGGGTGGCTGTGCCTATGGACGGTCAACGTAAACAAAATGTCTCGTGGCCCGCCCGTGGATTACCCTGATGGGCTGTATGCTGAAGATTGCCGACCCCTCCTCTATACACATAACGATCAGAGACGTTGGGTAAGAAAATGCCATTTACACATTGTCACTTTTCAGAGTAGGTGACTTAGGGAGCTTAGTTCAGCAGAGAAAGAACAAAACAGTAGGCAGCCTACCCTGGCTGAATGCTGAGTAATCAAATCTCAGTAACAATAAATCAGTTGGTATAGAGAGGATATTTCTATTTCTAAAGGTCTGCAAAAGGTATCTGTAAACAGATTTATAGTGAAAAGTAGTACAGTAACTCCTCTCTTACTGTTGTAGTTATATTCCTAAAAATGCTACCTTAAGCAAAATGATGTTAAGTGAATCCAATTTCCCCATAAGAATTAATGTAAATGGGGGGGGGGGGGGGCGCTTAGGTTTCAGGGAATTTTTTTTTTTGCCAGACAAAAGACAACACATACACATACACATACACACACACACACACAGAGTATAAGTTTTAAACAAACAATTTAATACTGTACACAGCAATGATGATTGTGAAGCTTGGTTGAGGTGCTGAAGTCAGAGGGTGGGATATTTCCCAGGGAATGCCTTACTGATAAATGATGAACTAGCACTCAGCTGAGCCCTCAAGGGTTAACACGTAGTTGTTAATGTTAGCCTCACACTCTACAAGGCAGCACGAATGGAGCGAGGGGAGATAGCATGGCAGAGAGAGACAGAGACACAGAGTGTGTGTGAGAGAGAGACGTGCATTGCCCCTTTAAGTATGCTGACCCCACCCTAAGTACACTGCCTTTTTAAGTAGATCAGCAAGTTGAGACAGCAGCTGCTGCCAGCAAGCTCCCTCCGTCCTGAGCCCTGTTGTGGCCCCCCTGCTCTGTGGAGATGAGATACAGGAGCGCGGGGGCAGGAGCAGGGGAGGGGGACACCCTGACATCAGCACCCTTCTTTCTCCCCGTGCACAGCAAGCAGGAGGCTCCTGGGAGCAGCTCCAAGGCACAGGGCAGGAGCAGCCCATGGCAGTGGTGGGAGGGACAGCTGAACTGCTGGCAATTGATAGCCTGCTGGGCAGCTGCCACACAGGGAACATAGGGGAGCTGATAGGGGGGCTGCTGATCCACCCTGGTTCCAAGTCCCCACCAGCTAGCTCCAACGGGCTGCTCTTTCTGCAAGCAATGGACAAAGCAGGCGGCTGCCAAACGACGTTATAAGGGAGCATTGCGCAACTTTAAACGAGCACATTCTCTAATTGATCAGCAACGTAACAACAAAACAACGTTAACTGGGATGAAGTTAAGTGTGGAGTTACTGTATAGTATTTGGTCAGCAAAGTCAGAAATAAGCTGTCAAATTTTATTTCAAACTAAATTGTATTTCAAATCTTGTTAACTGAAATCCACGGTTCAGTGATAACTGACAGTGGTAGGTTCTAGCCAAATAAGCTCCAAATTTCAACATCTCATTTACCAGAGCAGCACAGATCTTATCATAAACATTTTCAAAAATGTTCTTTTTTCAGGCTTACTCTCCCTGTTTTTATTTCACTTTTACTGAAAGTACAAATTGTCATGGTGTCTTTTAAAACATCAACACACAGACAAAAAGCATATAATTAGATTTTATTATCTACACTGGAAACCATAAAAATCTGTATCTAAAGGACTGTAATTAAAACAGTGCAGATACTCCTCTTTATACCCGATAAATCACTGCCTGCTCAAATTCCTAAGAATCTGTCACTGGACTACATTGTTCACAATTAATTATATGTACTCATAATCATGTTGTAACTTGGGGAAGGGGGGAATAGCTCACACTGTGTTGACTCTCAATCTCTTCATGTTTCTGTTGCAAAGCTTGTGAGGCTCTAATTGAATCACCTATCCCCCACTGGGTCCGTAGTTGTTCTGATCCAGGTCCTTCAAGCCAATTCACTACCTGTTAACAAAATAATAGTTTAGATGACAACAAATAAATCAAATATTCTCAACAGGTTGTAAAACAATTCCACTCATGCTTTTAAAAATTCTATGTACTTTTCATTTCAAATTAATATAACCACAAATTTGGTAAAAAGTTAGATACTCTGAGTAACTTTGGAAGCGACTTGATTTCGTATGCCTTTGGTAGAATGTACTTTTCATTAACCTTAGGCTCTCAGCTCATGCTAGAAACTCAAAGCTCACAAAAAATTTGGCACACTCATATTTGTCATTTTACATCTGTGTCAATAAAGTGGATAAAAAAGCCCTTACTTTTCTCGATAAGAAAAAAATCTTTCATTTTCAGACAAATTTAAATTAGCCTAGATCAATGAATTGGAGTGCATGTGTCAGCATTGCTGAAATGTTGGACACATCTTTATACTCATGAGAGAGAAGTGTTTTCTCCCTGCTTTGTTGAACAATTATGTTAATGGACAAACAGGTGACAAGCACGTTTTCAATACAAAATATTAGAAATACATAAAATGCTTTAAAAAAAAAATAGCCCTTCATCCTGTAAACTGACCCCTCTGACATAAGGAGGCACCCACATGAAGCCTCACTGATGCCAGTGTCTCCTTTAAAAGTTCAGGGGTCTGCCTTTGCAAAATAGCTTGCAAGAAAGGTCTCAATGTCTAATCCATAGCTGGAAAGTCCCAAGATTAAAGTGTCAAATGTGTTATTTTTGTAACCAAGGACCATCAATTCATTTTGATTTGTATGTTGGGAAATTATCTAATTAAGGTGAAATGGCCTCTAAAATTATGTATATTGGCCTCTTTATGTATATTTCTAGTATATTTAAGTTTGAAGTATTAGACTATACCCACAGCATAAATTCTAAGATTAAAGCATCGAGGAAATATAGAAACATCCATGCCAGCTGAAAAAAAGCCACTTATCACTGAAGCCACACAGGAGTCCTGAAATAACTGGGAATTCAGAGACACCAAAAATGACAAAGGACAGGCAAACAGCTTCTCTTCTTTAATCAAAAGATTTTCTTTTAAATAAGAATATATGCAAACATACAATGAAACTCAGTTGGCTGGTGATTTGTGCACACCCATTTTTCCGGGAATACAGCCTCACCAAAGGGAAAACAAGGGAAGAACATGGATTTATCCTTGACTTCTCTGTCAGCATGGAAGGTCATGGCACAACAGTGCACAAGAGTGACTATGACTATCCTTGGATTATTCAGAAAGTCCACCCAATTTTGTCACCTGATCTACAGTTATCCATGCCTGTATTACAGTTTGACACAACTGCCTTTCCAACAGCCTGTTTCTCTGCTCCCAAAGCACACAGGTAACACAGAAGCCTCAAGACACCATTATTATTCATTATTCATATTATTGTAGCAGCTAGGAACCTTACTCGTGAACCAGGACCCCACTGTGCTAGGTGCTGTATAAATGGAACAAAGACAATCCCTTCCCCAAAGAGTTTACAATTTAAGAAAGACATCCTGTCCTGCCATATCCTGTGTGGTGCCTCCTCTGGGATCAGTGGAGAGAGGCAGAGAAGGGAAGATACCAGTATACCTGTCAGTGATCCTAGTTTGGCTGGGAAAACCCTTCCAGGGAAACTGTCCTGGGACTTTGTAACACTACTGCTCAGCAGCCTCCTGCTTTATTCCTCACTGGAGTCTTCTCAGTTACTGGCTGCTGGCTTCTGCATCTGATCCCTGGCAGCTGCTTCTAGAGCTGTGCTTAGCTCAGCAAATGGAGAGATCTGTGCCAGCTACATGCACTGGAGAGAGGTAGCCAGCAGACATGGGGTGGGTGCATGGCAGAGAGAAGCCAGCAGAGGATCCTGCACTCTCTATGCAGGCCAGAGAGGCCATTTACCAGGGAGAGACAGAAGAAGCTATGTGGTGAGATGAGAGACAAGGGGAACAACATTATTATTGAGGGACAGTTTTTCAAGTCAGGCAGTGGCTGGGGGGCATGTTTTATGTGCATTTTTGTGAATTTAGAATAATTTCTCTGTTTGTTTTTCTTAACCCTTCTAGGAAAAAAAATAACCTAAAATTAACCAAAACATACACCAAACTGTTCATCAACTGGGGGCCTGGAAGCTCCCACATCCTGCTTATTAAGAGAATTGTTCCTGGATGTACATGAAAAACATTGCCAACTATGTACTGGGGAACAGAAAAAAAAGAGCAAAACCTGGGGAGTGTAGTAGAAGAGCGGCAGGGATCTGAAAGACACAGAAGAAAGGAGACAGAGGGAGAACAGGACAACATCTGGGAAAAAGGGTGTGAGAACTTTTGAAAGTGGATGAGAACTAAAAGCTTCACAGTGAGGCAGAGCAGGGGAGGGGGGCATGCTTCACTACCTGTCAATACCCGGCCCAAGCCGGGGAAGCTAATGATCCAACCAACGGTACAAATTTGGTGATGAATCCTAGTCTCATGCCACCTGAGGCATGTTGCACATACGCTAAGAGGAGAAGGGGAGGAAAGCAGAAAATGGAGACTTGGGAGTAAACACAACCAGAAATGGCAAGCAATATTGGCAAAAAATAAAATAAAAAAAGGAAGGAGAGAGAGAGAAAACACAGGTGGAATGAATCAGCAATACTAGGGTCATCCAAGTGAGGAATCACCAACTGAAGCCTTGCCCTAGGTGCAGTCAGGACTGCACAGGAGGCAGGACTCTTATTGTGGCAGCTTGCAATATCCATCCATTTGGGACAGTTAATTCCATTTTTGGGGGGCTCTTCTCTGTGACAGTCTGCATCCCTACATTCACCCTTTTTTACAGAACTATAACAGATTGTACAAAGTGTGCCTTGTGAGGGATTATTTGAAAACTCATAATTTGCTGATCATTATTGTCCTGGTAAAATATGTGTGGCAACCTTGTATGTAAAGTTACAAGATTCTACTCTGTAGACATGTTCCAAGCTTAGAAAAGCAGGCACAAACCAATTCCTCAAAGATAAAATTCAAATTGATGCTCAGCCAGTTGTCAACAATATCAAATGAACTATCAGCTGATTAAGCGACCATTCGTTGGCAGGAAAAAGGATGTGAGCAAGAAATTGGTTGGTGGGCAGCTTACCCACTGCGGCTGTCGCTCTTACATACAGTGTGTATATTTCTGGCTGTGAATCTAGGCAGGTTGCCTTATTTAAATTTAGGCAACGTTTTATTGCATTTTTGTATATTACTTGATGCCTTCAACAATCGTTTTAAAACTGGTTAAATAAAATAGCAGAACACATAGCTTCATTTTGTGCTAAGATTCTGTTCATTTATTATGCAGCATCAGTAACGTAGACAGAGCAAATGGATGATTATTTCTAATCAAAATGATGCAAATTGAGGTTGATGCCCGAGTAAACAAGTCTATTTAAATGCATTAATGAAGGCAGTTTGCCAGGCTAGGTTATAAACTTTATTTCAATCAGCAATTCTTGCTCAGCCAATCTGAATATTATCCAACTACAGGAAAAGTCCCATGCCCTGCTTATGTCATTTGTGAGCTATGCAGTAGTGTTATTATCTTATACACTACACTTTTGTTGTTGTTGTTTTCAACTGAAAATATCAATATGAAGAGTTTGGGTTTTTCTTTTCTTTTGAAGATTTCAGTGACCACACAAATGAAAATAGTTTCTTGCTGGATTTACATTTTCAGTGGTAAGATGTCTCCTATCCTCATCAGAAGCATGAGGTTTTTGGGAAGAAAATTTAGATTGACTTAAGTGAAATTCAGAAATTACTTTAGAAATGAATTTCCAGTGACAGCAAAGGGAAATGTTTTCCTTATGAAAAATAGAGTACTGAGGGTCAGCCATAAGTGCTCCCAGTCCACTCATCCTTCCAGATGAGATGATGGCAACTAAAAAGGTGACCTTCATAGAAAGGTGACACACAGAACATGTGGTCAGTGGTAGATGGCATCAACAGATATAGGCAGTTCTTGATCGTCCCGTCAAAAATAATCTCTGGATGGTGGATGGGATTGAGTAGTTGTGGTTGTCAGACCCAAAAGAAGACTGGGGATAAGGAAGGGTGAAGATATCCTCTGGTAAGGTGTACATTTTGGTTAGTCGCAGAGACGGTAGTCAGGACTCACAGATCTGGTGCATCCGTGGTCATCGTGGATGGTGGGTCTTTATGGGGACTGGTCAGTACTGTTGAGGAGTCAACATGTGAACTCTTAGATGGCGTTTGTGGCTGCGGATCCTTAGGCTTAGGAATCGGAGCAGACACTGGTATCAGCAGATCCTTTCTCCTTAGCACCTTGCTCTGAGGACTGGAAGGTTTAAGTGGGCACAAGTCCTTATGACCTGGATGCGAGGGCTCACCCAACTTGGCTGGAGCTGGGGAGGGATCTCTTCTCTTGGAAGCAATACTGGCAGGAGATCTGTCCTTATGCTCATGAGTGCGCCCCTTATTCTCATGAGAAACCCTGGACAATGACTCCTTGGGCTTATCAGCTCCGGCTTCCACTCCTGAGCTCATGCTTGGAGGGGCATCGCTTGTCAGTTGAGGCTGACATAAGGGGGAATCTCCTCAGATTGAGATCATGTAGCCTTCTCCATAAGATGTTTTCTCAGCTGGGTCCCTTGAATCTTAAAGATTTGTGGAAGAAATGAGCAGCAAGTGCTGCACTTGGCTGAGATATTCACCTCTCCAGGACAACAGCAACAGCATTGGTGCTCATTGCTCATGGAGAATGTGACAAAGTTCTTAAACCCCAGGATTCTGGGCATAGTTTTTGTCCGCAGGAAAACACGCCCCACCGGAGGGGCGGGGGTGGAAGAAACTAAAAACTCTAACTATACTAAATAGTGTGTGTGTGTGTGTGTGTGTGTGTGTGTGTGTGTGTGTGTAATAAAGAAGCACAGAGAAATCTGTGGACACAGAGGATTCTAACTCAAGCCATGCGGCGGTAAGAAGAAACTGGAGAGGCATCGGTTTACAACACACCTTATGCTCTCGCTTAGTAGCATGAGGAAAGCAACTGCACAGGCACAGATGAACAGACACTACTTGCTAGAAATCTACAATCTCAGGTGCATGGTGCACATGCACACTCACATGTCGAATACACACAGGGAGTAGCACTCAAATAAGAACTTAAAGATATAAGCAAAACTACCATCATAATATTTTTTCTTGAATGCTTATTTGATAATGATCTAGGTGCTTAGCGCTGTGGCAGTGCAAGGAAGGCTTAAAGCTGGCATAAGTGACCAACTGAGGATTCATTAGGTGTAGGAGAATCCCCAGCATAGCGGGCTTGGAAGAGAAAGCTTGTCTGGAAATTACTGCATTCTAGTGACCTCTACCTGTCAAAAAGGCCCTTTGAAAACCATTCCAAGCAGTCAAATTAGAACATCAGGCAAAATCAGCACCTAGCAGCCCCAGAATCAAAGGAAGCACAAAAGCCTGAGTAAAGCAACTTTCCCTCCAACTCCCTTAGTCTTACACCAACTGCAGCTTATCCAGACCTAAAGGTCAGAGCGTAAGACTCAATTTCAATATAAACAAAAAAATGTAACAGAATTGTCTATTGTATTCAACCCAGACAGAGGTCTAACAGAGAACTCAACATTATTACAAAGTGTAATATTTAGTTTTGAATCTAGTTTAAAAATATATCACTATAAGCTACTTATGACGGACTTCTCAGATATTTAGAATTAAGCAGTAAAGAATTATATGGCATGTGCTTCCTAAATTACTCACAGACGCACACCATAGGAATACACTGAGGGCAGATAACTATTTTTAACAGTCTTAGACATTTGAAAAAAAAAAAAACCCACCACACCATAGATGTCTGTAATATGTGCTATTAAAAACAATACTAAACAGACTAAAACAAGGTTTGTTTTAGAAGGATTTTTGTTAACCATGCAAAGTCAAAAGGTTACATGATAAAAAAATATGGTACCAAGAGAATCTTGGTGCTTACCTGCATTACCTTCTGTTGAATCTCCTCTAGCTGTGTGCGCTTGCTACGTTGTCTACAAACTTCCTGGTAACGCGTATACTGTTCTCGGAGTGAATCTAATAGCTTCATGACCTGTGGCTGAGCAAGCAGTTCATCATCCATGGGAGACCATGAGACCCCTCCATCTGAACCATTAAACCGACGCTGCTGTAACTCTGATAATAGCTCATGACCTTTAAAGATAAATAGAGCAATACAATCATAATTAATAAACACAGATACAGTCAAAATCATTAGGAGGCAGAAATTAGTTTTTAAGGTTAACAGACATTACAGTTCATTAGATGTAAGAATATAGTGTGCTGGCACATTTAATGATGTTTCTTTGTAGACAACAGGCAAAATACTGTCCTTCGTCAACAGGACTGTACTGGCTGCAAATTAGGACAGAATTTGGCCTGGTATATTTTAGGGGAAGGAGAAGAACAAAAAAGTATGCACACACAAAGCAAATAGTATGTAAAATCTGAACTGAAGTAAGATTCCTTCTCAAATTTGTGGTAGGTTCCAACAGATTTTCAAAATGTGTTTCAGGAGTCCCTTTATTGATTCCAAGAAGTTCTATTTTGGGAGTAACCGATCTAAGACACTTTAAGGTCTTTGAATAATTTAACTGAGAGTAAATCAGACCTTCAATTCTACTGGTTCTAATAAACTAAACTCTATAATAAAGTGTTCTTCTGTTTACATGCCTTGTTAGTGGCTTTGAAAATGTGAAGAGAAAGTATTTAAGTAGTAGATATAGGAAAGGGAAGTTAAGGGGATTTTTTCACCAAAATCACCATCTGAAAGCAAACTGTCTTCCTTAAATTTGAACAATATTCTAAAGGTTTTATTTTTAAATATTTATATTTTCTAGTAGTTTTCAAGAGTGAAAATTCTTTGACTTCCTATAGCCCATGGTACAATTAACATCTAGAAAGCTCTGTAAATAGAGGAGGAGGAGGAGAATGGGAGACAGGCAAGTGGTGGATCCATTCTTCCCAAGAGCCAGGAAATATTTTTAGCCCTGGAGCCCCGTGGGTCACAGGACATCACAGTGGCCGACCGTGATGCCGCGGAAGGAACCTCTGGTGAGTATACAGTTACAATCAAAGTCCAGTTAAACTTTAATGGGCACACCCATTCAGTGGTATTGCTTGTTTACTGTGAAGACAAAGCGAGATGCTGTGGTTCTCTGCTTACAAGAGGCTGCTCCAGCTACGCAGAGGGTGGCCCCCGGAAAAGACTGTTTATGTGGACTGGGATAGCTCCAGGGATATCTCTAGGAAACTTTCATGGAGATACCCTGCAATCCTTTGCAGAAGGTTTCTGGGCAGGGCAGTCTTATTTCTTCCACCATGGTAGGACACCTTCCCTGCAACTCCTGAATTAATTCTGCTGGCATCATTGTGGTACACAGCATAGCAGCATAAGGACCAGGTCTATACCCAGACACTAGCAGCATCTCCTTCCTTTCCACCTCTGTTACCCTCAGGAGACTGAAATCACATGGGTCGCCTAGGGGTAACGGGGGAAGTTCTCATTAAAAGTGCTCTTACAAGGGAAACAAAACAAAACAAAAAAAGGGCATGTAGAACCACCCCCCCCCACACACATATTGGATCGCCAAACCATACGGCCGCTAATGTGCTTTTACTGTGCTCGGCATGAGTCAGCAAGTAGTTTAAAGTGGCTGAGATTCCGCAATTTGGGAGTGAAAACGTTCCCCCCAACCCCGTTTGTAAACAGTTTCCCGTGGTGCTATGGGGAAGGGCCTTTGTTCGACTAGCTACTTCTGCTTTTTAAATTCATTAAAAAGTGCAGTCACCCATGAACCGGGGGGGATGCCTACTCACTATGGCTGGAGCAGCACAGTGAATGGTTACGGATTCTGAGTATGTTATGGCTTGCACCTAGTGTAATAAGAGGGTTTTTTTTTTACGAAAACGGCCTTTTTATGGAAACATTTTATTCATTTACAATGGTTCCTTTATTTTTTCCCACAACTGACAGCTGGAAATGTATCCTTTGGCGTGTCATCAACACCTGAAAGCAGACTTTCGCTGATTAGAAGGAGAAAGAGAACGCGGGAGGACATGTTCACCAAGATAATGAATGCCTCCGAGACAGCTTACACAGAGCTGCGAGCGTGGAGGATTTCACTGTCCAAGAAGTTAGACATGGAGAGCAGGAAAGCTTCCAATAAGCAAAAGCGTGCAGCGTAGGATGAGATGCTTCGGATTATGAGGGACCAAGCAGACATGTTGAGGCATCTGGTTGAACTGCAGGAACAGAAGCAGGAGGGTAGAGTCCCTCTGCAGACCCTGGTGGACAGACAGACAGCATCGCCTGGTGCAGAATCACCCTCCCCCAAGCATTCCATGAGGCGTGGGCAAAAAGTCCATTATCCCTTTCACTTAACTCAGGGGGAGGGTACAAGGAACAGAAGGCACCTATTCACAGACCTTTGATGGTCTGGAATGCAGTGTTATGTTACACAGCTGAAAATGTTTCTCCCGTTCCAACTTTACAACCCCTTTTTCCCAAGGTTACCTCCCCCCCCCCCGTTCTCCCTCTTTACTTGGGTTTGTTAAATAAAGTAAATGGATTTGAGAAATATATGTTCTTTATTGAGTAGAAGCAGTGGGCCTGGGTGGGGGGTTGGCTTTACAGGGACAGTGATACATTCCAGGTGAAGGTTTGGGAAAGCACAATGCAGACAAGCAGCTCACATTACTGTGACTCATTACTGAAACGGCTTTTCAAAGCCTCGCGGATACACAGCGCTCCTTGCTGTGCTCTTCTTATTGCCCTGGTGTCTGGCTGCTCAAAAATGGCTGCCATGAGATCCGTCTCAACTGGCCACCCCTGTGGAAAATTTCCCCCCTTTTTCCCCCCACAGATATTATGGAGCACACGGCAGGCAGCTATAACCATGGGGATGTTCTCCTCACTAAGGTCCAACCTTTTTAGTAAAATTCTCCAGAGCCCTTTCAAACGACCAAAGGCACATTCAACCACCATTCTGCACTTGCTGAGCCTAGAGTTGAACCGTTCCTTACTGCTGTCCAGACGGCGGAGCCATGGGAGCAAGGGGTAGGCTGGGTCCCCCAGGATAACTATAGACATCTCAACATCATCAATGTTCATTTAGTAGTCTGAAAAGAAAGTCCCAGATTGCAGCTTTTTGAACAGACCTGAGTTCCTAAAGATGCGCGCACCATGAACCTTTCACACCCATCCTATGTTGATGTCGGTGAAATGTCCCCTGTGATCCAACAGTGTTTGTAATACCATTGAAAAGTATCCCTTTCAGTTTATGTACTCTTTCGCAAGGTCGTCTGGTGCCAAGATGGGGATATATGTGACATCTATCGCCCCACCGCAATTAAGAAACCCCATGATGGCAAAACCATCCACTATGTCCTGTACATTTCCCAGACTCACTACCCGTTGTAGCAGAAGTTGATTAATTGCCCTGCACACTTGGAGCACAGCAGCTCCCATGGTTGGTTTACCTACTCTGAATTGATTCCCCACTGACTGGTAACTGTCTGGCATTGCAAGCTTCCAAATAGTGATCGCCACTCGCTTCTCCACTGTCAGAGCAGCTCTCATTTTTGCAGGGCAGGGGAAAGCTCTGCACAAAGTTCCTGGAAGGTGGTCTTCTGCATTCAAAAGTTCTGCAGCCACAACTCGTCATCCCATACCTGCAAAACGATGCGATCCCACTAGTCAGTGCTTGTTTCATGGGACCAGAAATGGCACTCAACAGAGTGCAGCTGCTCTGTGACTTCCAGCAGCAACTGTGAATTGTTTTTTTTCCAATGGCTTGCAGCAGGGCTGCTTGCAGGACATTGCTATGTTCCGCACGGCGGACCCTACTTTGGCTCTGGAAATACTGCAGGAGAAGGCGCGAGATGTTTGAGATGCTCACAGCAAAAGTGTACAACTGAGTAGGCTCCATGCTTCTGGGGTTATGGCGTACGTGCGGCGGTTTTAAGGCATGAAAACCACTGAGTTGTTTGCCGTTGATATGAGGGAGGGAGCACAGTGCATCATGGGATGCCGATGCAATGTTCCCATTCTCCCCTGCAACAATGTTTTGGTCCCATGAGGCATTGCACAAACTTCCTAAAACACATGGTGGCAAGTGACACTTTGGGATAACTACCCACGCTGCACTGCTTTGTTCATTGATGCAGGCACTGCTAGTGAGGACACACTCCATCGAGACAATGAGCATGGCATGGCCACGCACAATCGACTTAATTAATTAGAAGGCTCAAGGTCGAATTAGATAAAGTCGACTTAATTTTGTAGTGCAGACAAGCCCTTACTCAAACCAAATAGTACCTTAATCCACAAGTACTTCCAGGGATTTCTATGAAATTATTTGTGGTGTGAAGTGGATCTGGCCATCACTGACTAACTATTTACCTAGTTTTTTGGGGGGTTAATAATTGAAATAATAATGCAAGCCACTTACAAATAATAAAATAAAAAATCTGATAGAATAAGGAAGGAAAAAAACTATTTTACCATTTCCCTTCTGTTCCAATTAGTTTAAAGAAACTATGAGGGCAACATACAAAACAATAAAATTATAGGCTTTAAACATTATAAAAGATAAGCTTAACATAACAGGCTCTCAATATTTGTTTACTGGGAATATCTGGGTTTTATTCTTTAAACCACAGAGCGAGCCTTCTAATAAATCCAGGGGGGAAAAAAAAGAAAAGAAAAGAAAAAAAACCCAAACCAAACCACTACACTGAGAAGCCTAAACAAAAATGGCACCTGTTCCCCCACATTGCTCCAACAATATTCTTCAGCTACAATGGGAGGGCCCAACTCTAGGAGTTAGTAGATATTTTAGTTTCCCAAGGCTAGGGTAACCATATTTCCCAAAGGGAAAGCGGGACACTGGGTTGGGTTGGGTTTGCCCGAGCCACCCCGCCCGGTGCTGGCTCCAGCCACTCACCCCCCCATGGAGAGCTGGACCAAGCCCCTTCCCTGACCCTCTCCTTCCCCCATGCTGGGCTGGCCTGAGCCCCTCCCTCTCCCATGCAGGGCTGGCCCAAGCCCCCCTCCCTGGTCAAGGCTGGGGCTGGCATCATCGATCACCCAAGCCCTGCCTGCCCGCTCCCCTGCTTGAGCCCTGTCTCCCTGCCCCACGCCCCGGGTAGGGCTGACATCGCCACTTGCATCCTCGCATATTCTTCCACACCCTACTTTTTTGACAAAAGCGAGCATTTATCCTGCTTGCTCTTGCCAACTGATCAGGTTGGCAAGAACAAACGGTACAATGCCCACTTTTGCCAAAAAAGTCAAGACAGCCGGGATAGGCCTTTAAAAAAGGGAATGTTCTGGCCAAAATGGGATGTATGGGCTCCCTACCCAAGGCCCATTCAGTCTGTGGTTTAGCTTTTAACACTGCCAGCAAAGTGTTGATGATGGGTAGTGATTATTGCAGCATGGTTTCCTGCCCACTATGAAAAGGGGGAAAAAAATCACCAACAGGTTTCACAGAGGACACCAACCATATAGGGAAATTATCCAGCATGACAGCTACAAGCCACAGGGATCCAAAAAACCTGCTTTAACAAAAAACTGATTAAAAAAAAAAAATAGTTGAGTAAAAAAAAAAGAAAAAGAAAGAGTAAGTAGCTATTTGCAGAGAAAAGTAAACACTGTAATATGACATACATCTGCTTTAAAGTAAAATCAACTAAGCAAATGCTGAAGTTTGGATATTAGCAACAGTGGGTAGGCAACTACCATAGTCTCTATATGTTTTCAATCCTTTGCTGTGACTGTCAACAAGAAGGCCAGTTATTTCCAAACTTGATAGCTTTTTGTGATTTGGGGACTTATCTATGGGGAAGTGGGCTGAGACCACCATTCATTTCATGTAAGCCACTGAACAGTCATTTTTGGTTTTTATTACCTTAAAAGTGAAAAGCTCCCTGGTCTACCACAAGCTACACACATTTGAATTCTCTAATGAAGTCACATTCTATTGTTCTGACAATGGAACAATTAAGGATGTTATTAAAGTACTAATAAATATTAAAAAAAAAATGTGAAATGAATAAGGCTTTGGAAGTATCCAAGTGATTTTTTTTAAATCTTACGCTACAATTTTTTTTATTTCACTAGCTAATAAAAAGATTATTTTTAGATTATGTTTATCATCCATGTGGTTTTATATATAAAACTTATGACAAGGCAAAGGAGGATGGCTACCAGGCAAACAAATTATCCTAGGAGTTTTCCGAATCTATAGTTCTGACAAAAGCTTGAATTTCTATTGACTAGTAACTCACTTTTCAGTGATAAAATATTTTAAATTTTCATAGGAAAAATATTTAATTTTTTTTTAGTTCATACTGGAACCCTTAAAATAGAGAATTGAAGTGTGAATTTGGAGTCTGTGAAAGACGGTGAATGTATAGCTCTGGGCAACTGAAATCCTTTATTTAACCCCAGAAGAGGTACAACACAGACCTCAACAGTGTAAGCTTCCCCATCTCTGACCCAGTCTATTTGCCTCATTTCTGACCTGGAAGGAAGAAGATTTTAATTTGTGTAGACAATTCAAAACTATGGCTTATTAAAGACCCTCAATAAGATAGCCAATTGTGGTGGGTTTTGTGAAGTGGACTGCTGTCTTGTAGAAACTGAACAGAGGTCACCAATTCTTTTCACACTGGAACCACCCAGCTTAAGAACTTTCACTCACTAATTATTTGGGCTTGATTTCAACAGAATAAAAAATGGAAGGCTTTGTAATCCATTACCAACCACAGGAGCCATCTACTGGCTGAACACCAACTACAATTGGAGATAACCAAAGCAAAATTAGACTTTCAAGTTCTACTGGTATAATCTGAATACTCAGTATATGTTAAGAGCTTTTCAGATTGCAGCAGAGGACCTTAATACTGCATCAATGTCTTACTCTCGCATACCTGGTTTCTATTATGGGAGATCTAAGACATGCAGGCAGAGGATGTGAGACACAGTAGATTTTTGTGGCAAATATTAATATGACTCACAGATTGGCTAGTGGGGTGCTGAGGTAACGTTCCCAATATTTCTATCCTAGAGTCTAAGACCATGATCTCTGTATTATGCCTTATTTCCTTTTATCCAATGAAGCAGGATTGTTAAGGAAATTTTTAGTTCAAATCTACCACTGCCATTATCCGTAACTGGTTTATTTTGTAATAGGAAAATAATTACCTTATATAATTTTTAATTGCTTTGATGACACTCAAGAGAGAAGGTAAGCGCTGAACAGGCATGGGGACATTTCACTTGTACAAATGGTGCCCAGAACTAGCCTGAGGCAAATTGTCAGAACCATGTGGGGCAAATGCAGTCTGTGTTGTAGCCATTTGGTGGCTAATGAGAGTAACTCATTCTTCAGTGGTGACAACTTGCATATTTCAGAGGCAATGTATTTAATTTATACAATAAAAAAGAATTAGGTCTGGTGCTACTGTAAAGGATATTAAATTGTTAAGATAGTGACTTTTTTTTTTCATAGAAGAGATGTAGAGTTTTTTCCATTTACCAACAAATTTTTCAAGTTTTATTTTTAATTCAAATGTTAATACATTTGTTAATAAGTTTATTCCACTATGTAGTTAAGATATTAGCATCTCATCCTTTATGCTTTCACAGAAGATTTAAAAACAATGACTAAAACTACAATAGTGATCAAAAATTGTCATTTTCAATTGACTGTACCTGTCTGTAGTACTGTCTCTGGATCAACAGATGGAAGAAAGTTTAAATCCATAGACCTTGTAATAAAAAAGTAAACATATTATTAATTAGTTGTATTACAATAGCACCAAGAAGCTTCAACTGAGATTGTGGCTACATTTTATACACATAGTAAGAGACAGTCCCTGCCTCAAAAAGCTAGCCATCTATAGAAGACAAGACAGACAAATGGTAGGAGAAAAAAAGTGTAATTATCCCTATTTTACAGATGGGGAATGGGGAGACAGAAACCTTGCTCCTGCACTGTCATCTGCCATCATCCATGACCGTGCAGGATCAGGACCTCAGCAACTTGCCCAGAGTCATATGGGGAGTTTCTGGCAGAGCCTAGAACTGAGCTCAGACCTGCTGAGTCCTAGTCCACTATCTTACCCATCCTTGGTCTCTGTGGCTCTTTGTAAACATATACATAGTAATATTTTATAGCAAAGTAATAGAAAAGATAAAAATGAAAACACTTTTGGTACAATAATATGGCAAAACACGTAACTTAAAACAAAATTAAGTCTGGCAAGCAATTGCTTATTAGCATGGTCTAGTTGCTTTGGTATTTAAAGACAAGACAGACAGATATATTAATAATGTGAATATTTATAAATCAATTAACATTGTATAATAATTTTCAAAGAAGGTTTATTGCACTAGGGAACATCCTGCATTTCTATTTACACAAAAGATCAGATTTCACCACCCCACATAAATACCAAAAATTCAGATACCTGTGCCCTTTACAACTTTTATACAGAACTTCTCATTTCTCTCTCTTCTCCCTATTTCCAAACATCTAACTAAATGCATAGTCGCAGTGACCTCCTCCTTGGAGCCCTTTCTCTCTGGCAGTTTGTGACTGTCACTAGCAGTTTTTAAACCTTAGCATGTATACTGTGATTAAAATAATGGAAAGAATCTGACTGCAAACAACTAGAGTCAGTAAATTGAAACTTGAGGCTTATGCTTTAGTGCTGACTCATCCCATTTTGTCTCCTTTCAGTTAAAACACAAAACCACACAAGCTAGGGATGGAAGGGTCAGTGAAAAACTTGTTAATCAAAGCTCCTTGTGGCATCATATAACAGATCATCACATTAATAATTTGGGCTTCACTTCATTGGTCATTCCCAAACTGAGAATGCGAAGGGACACTGGGATCAAGTGCATCTTGCTTACTTAGTTGCTAAGGCCTGAACCTGCAATTGACTGTGCACAGGAACAGGAGTGTGACCACATGCAGTCAGTTACAGGATCAGGACCTTAGTTCCTGCCAGAAAACAAATTGCTGAAAAATACTTGTGTTGTCCACCAGTCCCTTCACATTACACTTCCATATTGCAGCTGAACTGGTAGTTAAGACTTATGCTGAAAGATGTCTATTTTAGAAAGCAATCCACATACCTTTCTTTCTCCTGTTGGTTTCCTTTATCACTTCCATTGTTAATTAAAGCAAGCTCATCTAGTAATGATGTAGACTCTTTTGTAAACTTTTCAAATACCTAAATAAAAATACTTTTTATTAAAAGAACATTTACTTTTTTTAAAGAGTCAAAAGAAATTCATTTAGTGCTTGTGAAAGATGCAGTTTGACACTACCAGTTCAAATTTATCCATATTGCTCTGTTAATATGCTTCTTGACATAAAATAATTACCTCTTAGACTCAGATGGTATAGGAAAAAGGTTAGAAAATATAATTTCCCTTCAATGACAGAGGCCTGCAGTGTCAGATTCTCCAGGGAATTAAGCAAATTTATATTACAATACATTCAAATTAGGACTGAATTTCAAACGCTTACAAGACCCTGAAGAATCTTTCAAAACTTAAGTCTTCATTGCCATAGTTACTCATCCAGTCCATTTAATCCTTTGCCTTTTTATGACTACCTCTTAAAGACTGTGGTGGGGATTTTTGTTATATGAACATCTGTCCACTAAAAAAATTGGATTAAGTACATCAACTGTTACCTGAATTTCCAGCTTTGGCCTGTACTGTAACCAATAACTTTTAGAAACAAAGGAGCAAATGGCTATAAGTAAAAAATACCTTGGTCAAGGCTCCTTGAAATGTATTGGTTTCTGATCTCAGAGAGCAAAACCTATAAAATCAGTGACTGCATGTACTTGTTCAGTCTCTATGTGTTTTGAGTTCTTTATGAAAACTGAGCGTCAATTCGTTCTAGTAGTGATAATGTTGTGCAATATGCATTCTTATCCACTAGGAACTGGATTGAAACCAATCACTCATTTCACTAGAGATCAACTTTCAGCTGCTATTCACCTCATCAACTCAAAATATTTGGCCTGGAGGTGAAGTTTCTGTACCTCGTCCAGTCCATTCAGGCATCAATAAACAGCCCTCTGGACATGAAATTGGATAGCCCTCTCAATACAATATAACTTTACCGCACGTTTCATACACTGTAGTACAAAATACTTTACAATGCTAAATACAGTAATGAAACAGAAATTAGGCAATGAAAACATTTTTTGGCCGAGATCTGAAACTAGACAGAATCAGAAAGGCTGTTCCAGATGGCAGGAGCAGCAAAGGAGAAAGCCCTTGCACCAACATTATGGAGGGTATATGAAGGAAGAGAAAGGAGTCTAGTGCTAGATAACGAGAAGGGACAGACACATCCGTAAGACAGCATCAGTAGAGAAATTTTCAATTGAATCCTGAAATGAATAGGAAGATGGAGGCCAGTCAGTGAGGATGGGGGGGGGATATGTTTGTAAGCTTATTGCAAATGTGAAGTAGTAGTCTGCAGCAAGATTTCACACTAATATGTGCTGGACTTGGGGAGATATCAGAGAAGGGAGTTTGCAATTTTCAAGGTAAAAGAAGGGGAAGGCATGGATGAGGATTTCAACAGAAGCAGAATTAAGGTAGTGACACAAAACAGGTGGTATTTCAGAGGTAAAAAGACCTTTACAGATGTGCGAGAAGGTAAGTTCAGGGTCCAGGATCATACAGACAGTGGAAGCAAATTGGAAGTCTAAGTCAAGGATGGAAATAGAGAGCATAGAGCTGTGTTTAAGGATGCTGGATGAAAGAAGGGCCCCCAGAAACCTGGCTGTTAATTACTCGAAAGCATCTCGGACTTTAGGTAACTATAAATGCTTGAGGTGCTCTAAACCTACTGCTACAGCGTGTGTATGTGCGCATGTGTGCTTAAGATCTAATAAAAGAGTAGTTTTAGGTAAAAGCACTCATTTGTACCAATCATTTATCAGATGGAGGAGCTCATCCCCATTGATATATTCCTAACACTGCCTGAAGAGAAACAGTTAAGTTACCACTGCTGTGGGTTCTGAAAACCCTGGGTAATTGACACAGTCTGATGACCCCCAGAGGTCCACGGACAATAGGTTGAAAACCACTGCCATTGAGTAAAGACATACTGACGTGCTACTATAATAAGGAAAGTTGCACAACTGCTGCTTGTGTTATACCAGTTTTGCAGCTAGCTGGAAATACTTCAGTTTCCAGGGTTGAAAACATATTCAGACCAAAGCAGTCCGTCTGCTTTTAAAATTATATTATACAAAAAAAAGGGGAGGACATTATTCCACTTTCAAGATTAGGTATTGTTTTAAAAATGCATTTTTAAAGTAAATTCTGATCTTCAAACAAATTTCAATGAATAACAGAATTAAAATATACTGAAATAGATGCATACCAATGACCCCCTAAATAATTTGAATCTATTAACAATTTAGGGGCAGATCTACCCCGGGTATAAATTGCATGCCTGCATCTACCAGGGCAACTGCGCTGCAGGGGGATTCACCATGATGGAGGATAGCTTTTAAATCTGGTTATGGCTCCATAGGAGCCCTATATTAAAAGGCTGCCTGGGAAACATGAAGAAATAGAGCATTTTTTGCTTGGCCTGGGCCTTCCCTCTCTATGGCCAAACCCAGCTGACTCCAGGCCCCCCAGCATTCCTTGCTCCTGTACCCTGCACTCCTGGGGGATTTTTCAACACTGAGAATATGCACAGAACCTAAAGAGTAAATCTGCTCCTTAAACAACATAACTACATCTGCTTTGCCACCTCTGGAGTAAATTCAATTTCTACTAGAATAAGGCTCTTTATATATTTAAAGTGCATTTTTCTCATTCTACTGCATTATAATGTATTCTAAACATTGAGGTAGCAACCAAAATGTGGTAAGAGCCATGCCCACACAGAGAAATATAGTCCATGCTCCACAAAGCTTAAAGTTTGAAAGAAAAAAAAAAAAATCCAGAAAACCAACCAGCCTCTTATTCAACCAATCCATGTGATCATAGGAAAGGCTCCCTCCAAAATCTTCTGTCAGCTGGCATGGTTCTATGTATCGAGTCAACTTGTTGGCTGATACTAAAATAACCTGTAACAAATTAAGAAAGAACGTTTTGGTAACATGGTTTTGTGAAACCTCTGCTACAAAATTTAATATATTTAATTAAGCTTGTTACTTTGAATAACAGGAGGACAGACTGAATAAACAGAATATATTTTGAAGTACTTTACAAAAAAAAGTCACAAGCCTTTTCATAAGTACCTGTAAGACTTGGTTTGAACTGGTGCACAACAGTTTACTCAATCTGTTTTTGAAACAAACAAACAACTTGCCCATCCTATAGCTATGAAGTGTGGAGCTGAAGTAGGAACAAGTCTGTAGTTAATGTTAAAATTGAGCTTAAAATGGACAGCTAGTTTTGACACACAAACTTCCCCCTGCAAGATTTCTTCAGGAGTTGGTATTCCACTACTCCTACAGACTACTATATTCCCTTTTGATTCTTAGCTCTTGAAATTAGGATAACTAGATTTTTCCAGCCTTGAAGCCTGTAATCCATTCCTTTATTCTGTACTTTGGACACCCACCTCCTCTCAAACTACTGGCTTGCCCAAGAATTCCCTGAATCTAGGTTAGGGGTTCTCAAACTTGGGGTTGGGACCCCTCTGGGAGTCACGAGGTTATTACATGGGAGGGGGGTCACAAGCTGTCAGCCTCCACCCCAAACACCGCTTTTCTTCCAGAACTTATAATAGCATTAAATATATAAAAAAGTGTTTTTGATTTATAAGGGGGGGGGTCGCCAAGGCTGGCTCTAGGCACCAGCAAAGGAAGCAGGTGCTTGGGGCGGCCAATAGAAAGGGGCGGCATATCCGGGTCTTCGGCGGCACGTCCCTCAGTCCCTCTCTTCCTCTTTGAGCTGACACTGAAGAGGAAGAGAGGGAGTGAAGGACTTGCTGCCGAATTGCCGCCGAAGAATGAAGCGGCGCAATTGAGCTGTCGAAGTGCCGCCGATCGGCTTTTTTATTTTTTTTTTCTTCTTCACCGCTTGGGGCGGCAAAAAAGCTGGAGCCAGCCCTAGGGGGTTGCACTCAGAGGCTTGCTCTGTGAAAGGGGTCACCAGTACAAAAGTTTGAGAACCACTGATCAAGGCAATCTGCCTCTACCCAAGACAAATTCCAGTTGCACAATGGCCTTAGTAGTCCAGGATCCAAAATAAAAGATGTGTTTTGTCACCCTGTTATTACTAGTTGTGATTTGCCAGTTCTCTTCCATTCATCATTAAACCTTAGGATACTACTTTAATAATATCTTAATTTTTGGAAACCACTTTCCTGCCTATATTTGTATGTGAAGGAACAGAAATGCAGAGGAAAAATAGGGACAAGAAGTTCATCTAAGCTGAAAAGTTTTGCATAATTTGGTATGTTAGTTAAAAAACACCATACTCACTGTGACAATTTCCCCGTAATAATGCATGATTATGTGTTGACCTGGTTATTGTGATATTTACTGTATGCACATGCTGAGGTAATTCAATAGCTGGACTGTCAGGAAATGCACCCAGGAAGAGGGAGGTGGATCCTGATGAATACTTCTCAGCAAAGATTTAAGAGACAGTGCAAGAGCCATTCACTTTGAAGGCCTGGTCTGGGTCTGGCAGACAGGTTTCTCAAGGAGTGACTGTCTCCATGGGGAGGAGGTTAGCCAAGGGAACCATAGTAGGGTTTAAAGAGAGACACTCTCCCTCATGTAAGTGAAAGAGTTGCTGGAGAATTGTTTGGGGGAAGAGATCAAGGCCCAGACCCCCAGAGGTAAGGTATCTGGGATAAGAGAGGTCTGCCTAGGACTCTAGGTAAGATACACGTGTGTATAGACTTTCTGTTGTTTTAAAATCCTTTTACTCTTATGTTATGCTTTGTTCTAGCAGTTAAGATATTTGGTTTTAAGAAGGCTCTCTGGTCATTATACAATCACTGATCACAGGCTTCCCCCACAGGGAAGAAGCGCAGGTACCAAACTCTGTTATACCTGTTGGGTAGGTATGGTTGACGCTCAGGATACTGTAGCCCAGGACCCACTCGAAGAGTGGGAGAACTGCAGGATTCCACCCCAGGGAAGGTAAAGACATGAGAGCGGGTGGGTGAACTCCCAGAGAATCAGAGGTGCAGTTAGCTCTGCAACTGTGACACTCATACTAAATCTTTGTGTATTATTTTAAAGATAATTTATCTGAAAGAGAGAGATGCTGGATTGGCATTCTCTATTTCCATCTGCAGAGAATCTTATTTGATAAACAATTTCATGGTGTGTCACACCTTCTGCAATTTGATATATCTAAGAATGTTCTCTACTATCAGCCAGCATAATACAGAAGCATTTCTATTAGCTACATTTCTATATAATTTGCACTGGGAGTAGAGGTGGCATACAATCTACTCAAGAGAGATGCCATTAGCATTGTGTATTGCTGTAATCAGAGTGACCAAAAGACAGCATAATAGGTCTGCTTCTAGGCCATCATGATACTGTCATAAGACGACAACTTCAAGGAAGTGTATATCACAAGGAGTCCACTCACAGTTCAAATATTTTGTGGGGGTCAGGATTAAAATATGAGTGAATTACTCACCAAGCATGTGGTGCGGGGAAGCGCAACCCTCCTGGAAGGTTAATTTATTTATATTAGCCCCTTCTCTCCAAAAATTCTTACTGCTAATACTAGTTGAGCTCCAAGAGTAGTAGAAACAGTCAGAGTGCCACTGACAAAAAATATGGTTTACCATCATCTCATGTAGACCTGCTCTGACCAGGTTTATGCATCAAAACAACTGTTAAAATGTTGGTGGTCAACCTGCCTAAACTAGTACTCTGCACAGACCCTGCCTATCCTAATGGTCCCACTGCAGCTGTATTGGCATTACAGTAATGTAGACACAGCCTCTCTTGTGTACCAAGTGTACTCTGTGAATGGCATATAAAATGTATTTCAGGAAGAGAACCACGAGGCACATGAGCTAGACAGGACAACTACGCCAGAAATCAAAGCAAGGACAGGTCTGATCACAGAATATATAAATATATATATGTAGTGTTGCTTAAAATTTAAATGTTGTGCAACATGATCCTATCATTCTTAAAATTGATACATACTTTAGTAAAACAGAATGGAAATATTATAGAAGTCTGTCAAACAAAACTATCAGTACAATTATATTATTGCATTAGAAGTAAATAACCAATTAGATTAACAAGAAAGTATTAATTTTCCACACTTATATAAGCTGGACCATTTTATCTCCTTGATACCAACTGATTTGTCCTGTATACATCCAATGCTCCAGGTTGACGTCTAAAGTTCAATATTTTTTAAAGTAATCACAATGCTCTCATCATTAACAGAAAAAACACTACTTATCCTAATATCAGCTGAAGTAGGTGGCTTTTAATGAGCAACCAAGTAAGAAAATAGGACAAGAAATTATGGAAATCATGAAAAAGCGAGATAAAAATCTGACTGAACCACAGTAAATACATAAGTATTTAAAATATTCAGAAGCAATTTATTTAAACTTTTGCTATAAGGCACTTGGATCTACCAAACTATTTAAATTGTTCCTTTAATTATAAAGGGAATCAATCAAGATTGTGAGCTAATGAGATGGACAAACTTCTGAATCCAGCCATCTTGTCTCCCATGACAGCATTTCCACAATTTCCCCACCATTTTAACGAACTTAACTGCAAAGGTTAAGAGTAGAAATTTTGGAACTTTAAACACTAGAAGAGAAAAAATGAACTCAGGATTACATTCCATTTGCCATATTTCAGCCTTTTCTAGTTGTTTTGGGATCAACCCCTGTATGACCTTTGTATTTGGAATCAATTATATTTGCTAAATAATGAAAAGATTCAACAGTTTCTCTGAATAGATTTTTAAATTTGTCCTTTGGCGCTTGAAGTATTTTGTTGTTAATGAGACAGGACCATCTTTCTGGGACTGCAAGAGTAGCGTCAGGTGTCCAGTTTCTCGGATCCTATCAAGACCTCCTTCAATTCCTTTCTTAAAATGTATTGCCTTGTTCTAGAGTCCCTTTGTTTTGTAAACCGCATGCCAAGTTTTGATTAGTTTCAATACTTGGCGGCAATTTTGAATCCACAGAGTATGTAAACAAATATTTTTTTCTCAGCGTTCCAACAAGTGCCATTGGGAAGCGTCATTTTTCAGCCAACCAACCACAAGGTTCCCCCCCTCCCCGGTCCCAAAAGACGGTCTGAACTTCCACAATGTGCTTTACAACTAGGCTAGATGTTACTACTACTTTCTCAGCAGAGTTAAAAATAGCATCCGAAGTTTAGGATGATTCTCATCTTTTTCCATTTTATTTTCATTAACTGAACAAATAGGAAAGAATTCTGCCGACAGTGGCATGAAGCTTTTGAAAAGTCTGTGAGCATTTAAATGGACTGGGATGGGGATGGCAGGGGAAGTATGTGAGAGCCAATCATCCAATCCAGTCCAGTCCAGCCCCTACCCACCCCACCCCCCCAGCCAACAGAAGAGGAAGGCCCAAATGAGGAGGAGAGGCCAGCCCCCATCCTGCCAAGCATGCTTTCTTGCAGCCTCCACCCATTTCTGGGCATTTTGCCATATTCCTATTGTACAGTCAGCATCCCCTCCCATTGATGTGGTGAAGAGGGGCATTCTTTTAATTTTTTTCTCAATTTCTTCATTTAAGGCATCTTCTGGTAGACCTTGGAGTTTAAATCTGTGGAGAACTACATCCAGGCCAAAGAGCTTCATTCATTTATTTCAGTTGCTCATTTCAGACTACACTGAAAGCAACGGTAGCATAAAAGAAGGAAGCAATTTTTCGTATGCAGTTCAAGTCTCGCTTTCAGTTGTTTTTAAAAGCATACACACCAATAGATCTTTGGCCTTTGTGTGCTGAAGACTAAGAGACCACTCCTTCAATGAAGTCGATATTGAAGAGTGCCTGGAAAGACTGAATCAGGGACTTCAATTATCCTCATGGCTATGTTTCAGTGATAACTGGCATTAAAAACATCTCACTTGCAGGGGTGGC